CAGATGTTCCCCACCCGTCCTGTGCTTTCTGGAGCAATTTCAGAATTGCCAATCCGTATTTCTGTGAAAAATAGACTTGCTAGCTAGAGTGTAATATTTGCATGCAGTTGTTTTGCTTTTATTCTTGGAATTTACAGTCAAGATTTTTTTTTTTAAATTTTTATTTATTTATGATAGTCACACACAGAGAGAGAGAGAGAGAGAGAGAGAGAGAGGCAGAGACACAGGCAGAGGGAGAAGCAGGCTCCATGAACCGGGAGCCCGACGTGGGATTCGATCCCGGGTCTCCAGGATCGCGCCCTGGGCCAAAGGCAGGCGCTAAATCGCTGCGCCACCCAGGGATCCCTACAGTCAAGATTTTTTATAAGATTATTTTAGTGCATTTATGTAGGTTTTTTTGCATTTATGTCAATCACTTGTTCCCGTTTGTTTTTTTTTTATTATTTTATTTTAATATTTTATTTATTTATTCATGAGAGACACACAGAGAGAGGCAGAGACAGGCAGAGGGAGAAGCAGGCTCCATGCAGGGAGCCCGACGTGGGACTCGATCCCAGGTCTCCAGGTTCACGTCCTGGGCCAAAGGCAGCGCCAAACCGCTGAGCCACACGGGCTGCCCACTTGTTCCTCTTTGTATTTCGTTATGAGTCCTTATTGATTTTAAGTTTCAGTGTGTGAACCATGTTCTAAAGGTCAGCAGCTCATGGGGCACCCAGCTGGCTCAGTTGGAAGAGTGTGGCCCTTGATCCCAGGGTCATGGGTTCGAGGCCCACGTTGGGTGTAGCGATTACTTAAATAAGTAAATAAAAAGTCAGCAGCTCTCAACTGTAAGGTGATTCAACTTTCCTTCTGCTTTTGTTCTCATTTACTCAATTTTTATTTGTTTGGTTTTTGTTATTTTTGGCAAAGGAATTCGGCAGGTGTAAATTGTAATGAAAAAGCACTGCATATCCCTCACTTTAGCGGTGTCCCTTAACCCCAGCCAGTACCAGTGGTGGAATTAAGACCTATCTGAGGCTCATCTCTCTTACTTGAGATTTTACACATGGTTGTGGGTACTGTTTGGCACTCAGTGAAGTGTGAGGAAGACGGCTTGTGGTCACAGGCCCCTGATTTTCATCCCCTAGACACTACGCTGGAAGAGTACGCGTACCGGGGTTAGCTGGACGGCCCTTGTTGGGATTCCAGAGGGCGCCAGCGTCGAGTCCCGTCCTGAGTGTAGTAACAGATGAGCCCCCTCCAGACTTCCCTTCAAGTTCCACAAAAGCGTTTTGTAAATTAAGGTCACTAATTTGTAGTAATTAAGCTCACATGTTTACAGAGCAGCGAGATAGCTTTCCTTAATGAAGTAGATTTGGGTTCTCGTGCGTTAGGAACGGGGCTTATTAGCCGCTGAGTCCAAAGCCCAGAGCATCTGGAACCGCAGCCTTGAGGGGAAGGAGGTAAAAAGAAACCTCTGCTCAGCCAGTGTGTCCAAGTGGCTTGTTCGTCAGCGTCTGGTGACCGGCTTTTAGCCCTTTACAAACATTCCCTTGTGTACATTGTGCACTCGGTAACTGCTTATGTTTTAATGAGGTCATGCAATGCTTTTCCAATTAACTACTTACGAGATATTTATTGTAAAACAAATTGTTCCAAATTTTTGGTCAGGCGCCTGGAGTTCGATGAACTCTCGTGTCCTATCTGCGGATTGGGTAACCCGGGTTCGTCTCTGACGTGTTTTACTCTGATGTTCGGGTCGTCTGGGGAGTGGTAGGATTTGTCGGTGGGACGAAGCATCCTGCCATAGTCCTTCCCTGTCCCTCCAGCATCTCGTCCCTGGAGGCCTGCAGGAGGGGTGAGGCACCCCCAGGGCGAGGCCAGCCCCCTGCAGAGCCCCCTGCTAGCAGAGCTCTGCACCTCCCTTCACTGGGACTTACCTTTGTCTCCAGCCCTTTCCTCTTTTTTTTTTTTAATTTTATTTATTTATTCATGATAGAGGGAGAGAGAGAGGCAGAGACACAAGCAGAGGGAGAAGCAGGCTCCATGCAGGGAGCCGGACACGGGAGTTGATCCCTGGACTCCAGGATTGCGCCCCGGGGCCAAAGGCAGGTGCTAAACCGCTGAGCCACCCGGGGATCCCCTCCAGCCCTTTCCTCTTAACCGTGGTGCCAGCTGTCAGAAACACTTGGCGTGGACCCCACTTGGGGCTCTGGCAGTCTTTGGCTCCGTCCTAATTTGTGAGGACGTGTCTGAGTGTGTCACTAACCGGAGGTGCCGACTTCAGAGCCTCCGTCCCTTGTGCCCTGCCTGAGGAGTGCCAAGCCCCGAGCGTTGCCCCCCTGCCTCCCACAAGGCCGCCCCCGTGGTTGGGGTCACCCACACAGGCCCCTGGCCGGGTCGGCGAGTGAGTCCCCAGCTGCCTTAGCTCGGGGGCGCAGTCGTATGTCTTACTGATGGAGGTCGCCTTCCAGATGGGGCCCTGCGGCCTCCTCTGTCCGGGGCTGGGAGGCCATGGCCTTCGTGAGCAGTTATTTCCATCTTCCTAACACCTGGGGATTTCTAGGTGCTTTTCAGGCCTCGCAGGTCTGAAATAAGGGTTAGAAAGCTCAGTGTTTCACAAATGAGAAAGTCAGAGGGCTGCATGACGCAGCCCGGCCCTGCCCCATGCCCTGCTGGCCCCACGGGCTCTCTAGAACACCGTGAGCAGTGAGCAAAGCCGTGGTAACTGCGCGGCTCCCCCCTCTATGGGGCTCTCTGTAGTTTCCCCAGAAGTTTCATGTGGTGCCTCCTGAAACCTGGGTGCTGGCCGGGGACATCTGCTGGCTGACGGACAGGTTGGGTCCAGACTCTGAACCTGTGACGTTTAAAGCCGATTAATGTCAGCCTCAGGGCTTTTAGGGTCATCTTTGGTGAGATTTACACGCAGCAGGGCGCAGCTGTTGTGTGATGAGGGAGGGGTGCAGAGCGCCGGGCCGGCGCCTTCGTAGGGCCGGAGCCTGGGGGTGCGGAGGGCAGTAGGATCTGCTGTGCACGGTCCAAGCTGCTTGCTCTCTGGGGGGCGGGGGTGTCCTAGGACTCCTCGGGTGCCGTGCCAAGCAGGTTGAACTTTACCTTGAGAAGCCCAGAGCCACGGGCATGGTATCACGTGATCAGCTGTGTGTGTCACAGGAGTGAGCCCTGGGGGTAGCTGTGTGACCTGGTGGCAGGGCCTGGCACAGGACAGGGTGCTAACGAGCAGTCCCCAGAGGAGGGGAGGCCCGCTGACCTCCAGCCCTTGTGAAGGACTGTGGTGATGACTCATGGGCGCTTCAGGAGCCCGTGAGTCACCAGCGGTGGCCGTGGCACAGGCGTTGTCAGGCGTTGTTCAGTGGCGTGTGTTTGCTTAAATCCTGGTTCTTTCCCTGGGAGTGGGTGCAGGCATGTGGGTGGCCAGGGTGCCTGTTGGTTTCTGTTGGCGAGACTGTGGCTGACCCCAGAGCTCCTAGACCACAGCCAGCGCCCGGCCCATGCTCTCCCCTGCTAGTGGGTGTGGGGGTGCTCCCCAGTAGATGTACAGTTGGTGTGGGGAACCCCCAACGCGGAGATCGGCAATGCCACGCCAGCGCTTTCGGTGGGCTGCGTGGCCGACGTGGCTAGCGTGGCCACCATAACCCTGGGTTCCCAGGGGTCCCGGGAGCCCTGCAGCCAGCCCGGGGACCACAGCCCCCGCAGGACCTGTGAGCCTCCTGAGGGCAAAGCAGAGCCCCTTCCTGGCCGTCCTCACGGGCGGGGCCTTCCCTGACCTCTGTCCAGAGCAGCTGCTCCTGTGATGTGCAGTTACCTCCTCTGCCTGTATTCTTTTGTGCTTCTGTCCTGCCCCAGGATGACAGCCCATTGGTGCGGGGACCCTACAGTCCGTCTCCAGTAGGTCAGACGGTCCCTGGCACCTGTGAAGTGCTAAATAAATACTTGGGTTGGTTTTCTTTTTTTTTGTATATATATATTTTTTAATTTTTTTATTTATTTATTCATGATAGTCACACAGAGAGAGAGAGAGAGGGAGGCAGAGACACAGGCAGAGGGAGAAGCAGGCTCCATGCACCGGGAGCCTGATGTGGGATTCGATCCCGGGTCTCCAGGATCGCGCCCTGGGCCAAAGGCAGGCGCCAAACTGCTGCGCCACCCAGGGATCCCTGTATGTTTTTTTATTGGAGTTCAATTTGCCAACATATAGCATAACTCCCAGTGCTCGGGATCCCTGGGTGGCGCAGCGGTTTGGCGCCTGCCTTTGGCCCAGGGCGCGATCCTGGAGACCCGGGATCGAATCCCACGTCGGGCTCCCGGTGCATGGAGCCTGCTTCTCCCTCTGCCTGTGTCTCTGCCTCTCTCTCTCTCTCTCTCTCTGTGTGTGACTATCATAAAAAAAAAAAATAAATAACAAACCCAGTGCTCATCCTAAATACTTGTTAAAGGAATTAAATGAACGACTTTAAGAAAGCTCACTGTGCCTGTTGGAGTTTTGTATCACCAGCATCAGTTTCCTGGTTACAGTGAGGTAGCACTTGAGATACAGCAGCAGAGGTTTGCTCCTGAGTGAGACAAACATTTGTCATCCCCTTCGTGTCTGGGACCTGGGGCTCAGAGCAGAGTCTCAGGTGACCTCCGCACATCTCGCTGTCTACTTGGGGGAATATTTGGCCACGGGCTGATTTGAAGCCAGTAACTTCCTTTTTTATTGAATTAAAAACTTTTTAAAAAAATTTTATTTATTTATGATAGTCACAGAGAGAGAGAGAGAGAGAGAGAGAGAGAGAGGCAGAGGCACAGGCAGAGGGAGAAGCAGGCTCCATGCACCGGGAGCCCGACGTGGGATTCGATCCCGAGTCTCCAGGATCGCGCCCTGGGCCAAAGGCAGGCGCCAAACCGCTGCGCCACCCAGGGATCCCTCTGCCTGTGTCTCTGCCACTCTCTCTCTCTCTCTCTCTCTGTGACTATCATAAATAAATTAAAAATTAAAAAAAAAATAAAAAATACAAAAATAATTGAAAAAAATACCAACAATAGTTAGAGTAAAATTAAAAAAAAAAAACTTAAAAGTAAATGTCTCTAGCTTTTCTGTGATTCGTTTCTACGTCCATCAACACGTCTAAAGGTAAGTTATTGTGGATCTGGAGCAGGAGGGCTGGCGATTGGAGGGGAGGGTGCTTGGGTATTTGGGGTTGAGAGAAACCATGGCCCGTGCCGTGCCCCGTGTGGAGCCGCCTGGGGGTCTGACACCACCCAGCACATGGCAGCAGGTGGTAGGCTCCAGCTCGGCATGTTCCAGCCCTGAGAGCGGTGACCCAGCTGTTTTGGAATGGGAAGCCCTAGGGAGTTAGGCTTTGTTTCCTTCTGTTTTGTAAGATCCTTTGGCGCTGCTCAGAGTGAGTGCGCAGCCTTGCAGTGAGGCCCCGCGCAGGCCAGCGACAATGGGGGGGATGAGGTGCGTGGGGATGGGCGGCAGCAGGCAGTCAAGTCAAGGCTAATCCCACGTTTAGCTTGGGCAGCTTGGAGCACGGCACCACACATCCATGAAATGCTCATTATTGTTTCTGGGGTCCTGACGATATTTTGGGATTCTCCAAATACCAGCCGGGACCATTTTGGCAATGTCTCCCTTACTTTTTTCTCCTTTCACCTTTTTTTTTTTCTTTGTAGCAAGAATTACTACCAAACTACCCTCGTTGAGCCCGAGTCCCAAGTCCTGTGCGGTGTCAGGGGGAGGCTTGCCCCTCCCGGACCACACTGGCTACCTGCATTTGCAAATTCATTGTTTCGTTTTTTTCCTTTTACTACCAAAATGTTATAGTGACACATTTCATTATATGGATAGTTTTTGTTGGTGGTTTTCATTATTAGTAACTTCAGGAGTAAAATGAGACTTCACATCCCTAAAAAGTAGCCTTGGCGATTCACAGTGGTCACCTGCGTAGGAGTCCTGGAGCTAACATAAAGGAAACGGAGCTCCGTGGCCCCGTGGGTCCTCTTGTTCCTGTACTTGCTGTACGCGGACCGAGGCGGACGCTGCCTGGACCTCTGCGACCCCCTTTCACGGCGTCCCTGCAGGCCTCCGAGGTCCCACCCACTGTCCATCTCCCCTAGTCCCAGAAAACTCACCATCAACCACTACCAAACCAGTGAGTCAAGATGACACGGCACAGTGGGACCTTTCCTTTCTTTCTTCCTTTTTTTTTTTTAGATTTATTTATTATTTGAGAGTGAGCGATCTAGCATGTGAGCAGGAGGAGAGGCAGCAGGAGAGGGGAAGCCGACTCCTGGCTTCCCCGATCCCACGACCCTGAGACGATGACCTGAGCTCACACCAAGAGTCGGTCGCTCAGCTCAGCCCATGGAGTCCCCCAGGCGCCCCGGGATTTTTTTCTTCTTAAAAAAGAAGCGTCTGGGTGGCTCCTTCAGTGAAGCGTCTGCCTTCGGCCTCAGGTCATGGCCTCATGATCCTAGGATTGAGTCCCGAGCCGGGCAAAATAAAAAGACCCACTTCACACGACTCAAGACATTTTAGAATCTTTGGGATGAGAGTGATACTCAGATGTCCCTGGCCCTTTGGGAAGGTGCTGTCGGGGACGGGCTGCTGTTTGCCCTGGAGCCTCTGCCCCCAGGATGACAGTGGGCTTGCCGTGTGGCCTGGGGTCGAGGCCCAGAGCACCCCTTGCCTGCCAGGCGATGGAATGTCAGCAGTCCCCGTGGTCTCAGCACGCCTGGCAGCCCTTGCTAGCTGCCCCCACCACGCACATGCACGCAGCCCATCCTTGGTACGCGCAGGAGCAAGGGGTATTTAGCACTTGTTACAGTTTGACAAAGTAGTTTTATGCTGTTGAATCTAATAATTAAAATGTAGAGCTTATGTACTATATATCTTTTTAAATTTTATTTTCCTCTAGTGCTTTGTTGTTACTGTGTTTTAGGAAAGGATCAATCAGTGATGGATTAGAAATAGAAGAGCCAAGGAACCTGCTCCTGAGTGCTGAATCTCCAGGAGCGGGGGGCCCGCGGCAGGAGCGGAGTGTGGGGCAGGAGGGGTGTTGGCCCTCGGAGGCTGGGGGACTCCAGCGCTTGCTCAGCTCCTTGGCTGCCTCGTTTTCTCATCTGCAAAGTGGGAGAGCGCTTCGTGAGCCTGTTTTAAAGGACCCAGCCCTTGTAGGTGAGCAAACGATGTTTCCTATGTCTCCTTCCTCTGCGACCCTAGGCTTACCACCCTGTGGCTCTGCTGCAGGGTGAGAGTAGGCTGGGCCCTGGGGGGGTCACCTGGGGTGCTTCAGAACATACGCGTGGCCAGACGGCTGCTCACTGGCCCAGGGCGTGCTCCGTGGTGGTGACAGCGATGCCGGAGATGGGGATCTGAGGCGGGTGTTGCAGAAGGACAGCTCAAGCGCCTCACCGGGCCCTGCTTCCCGCCTTCTCCCCGCTGCAGCTTTCTGGATGCTGCCGCCGCCCTCGGAGGCGGCCCTGAGCCAGCTGCTGGCCCGCAAGGAGGAGGAGTGGAGGGCGCTGCAAGCCCACCGCTGCCAGCTGCAGGAGGCCGCGCTGCAGGCCGCGCACAGCCAGCTGCATGAGGCGCAGGGGGCGCTGCGGTGCCTGCAGGAGGACTTCGCGTACAACCTGCAGGTGCTGGAGGAGCGGGACCTCGAGCTGGAGCGCTACGACACCGCGTTCGCTGAGGCCCGTGGGCGGGAGGAGGCACGGCAGGCGGAGCTGAGCGAGCTGAGGGTGCAGGTGGCCCGGCTGAGGCAGGCGCTCGCCGGCGAGGCCCAGCGGCGGGAGGACCTGCAGCAGCAGCTCCAGCTGAAGCAGCAGGAGCACCGGCTGGAGCTGGAGCGCGTCCACAGGTGAGGTGCCACGCCCGCAGCACAGTCAGCACGGCGGGATGTTGCTTTCCATGCCAGGCACTCTGCGAATTGTGAGTCCGCGTCATTTCACCAAGACATGTGAGCCGTGATTGTTTAAATGATGCAAAATAGCTAGTACTTCCCAAGCGTGGGGAGCTCATGTGAAGCAGGTTGACCGTGAACCCGAGCCCCGGAAGCCACTCTCATGGCACACGCACCCCTCTCCCCCTTGAGAGAGAGAACACGGGCTTCATTTTAAAAACTTTGCTGTCCTGGGACACCTGGGTGGCTCAGCGGTGGAGCGCCTGCCTTTGGCTCAGGGCCTGATTCTGGGGTCCTGGGATCAAGTCCCATGTTGGGCTCCCCACAGGGAGCCTGCTTTTCCCTCTGCCTGTGTCTCTGCCTCTCTCTGTGTCTCTCAGGAATAAATAAATAAAATCTAAAAAAAAAAATCTTTGCTTTCCTTCCCCTGATGTCAGGGTGTATGTTCGTGATGTCACCTTTACTGTCAGGGTGCATCCCTCTGGTGCCTGTGTGTGCACACAGACGTCAGCGGCAGGCAGCATCCTGCAGGTTCTGTTTGCACTTCAAGTGGGGCCCTGAAGAGTGTGTCATGTTGTCAGTTTGTACTGAGAAGTGCTCATGGGACAACCCAATAGTAACAGTGTTGTGGACAGTGGTTCTGTACGGAAGGTGGGGAGGCGAGGAGGGAAAGCTGCCCGAGGGCTCTGCTGTGTTCGTGGCTGCGGAGGCTTGTGGCGGCTTCCCAGCAACGCGGCAGCTTTTCCCTGGGCCTCCCATCAAGTACACCATGCCTTTTTTTTTTTTTCTTAAAAGATTTTATTTATTCATGAGACACAGAGGGAGGCAGAGGCACAGGCAGAGGGAGAAACGCGGGACTCGATCCTAGGACCCTGGGGTCACGCCCTGAGCTGAAGGCAGATGCTCCACCACTGAGCCACCCGCGTGCCCCGCAGCCACATCCCTTTACGAGGCTACCTGGCCTTGTTCTGTGCTTGCCGGGTGCGTCAGTGCTATGCTCCTCTGCAGCAGGAGACTCAGTGGCAGGCCAGGTGTCAGGTGGGGAGGCCTACGTCAGTGGGTGTGGGACCATCGGGCCCCCCCCGGCCTCCTGCCCGCCCACTGGCTGGCATCTCCAGTAATAAGGCGGTGGTGTAGCTCCCAGGGGCCTGGTGCCACCCTCCTCAGGGACACCTGAAAGCTCCACCATGGTCAGTGTCCCCTGGAGCAAGGAAGGCTGCATGGCCTCCCCACGGGGTGACATCCTGACTCTCCCCGGACTCCGTGATGCTCCTGGAGGATCAGCAGCAGCTGCTCTTCACACTGGGACACATGGGGCCAGTGCGCCCTCCGTGGAAATACTGATTTTCTTTCCCACAGCTGTTTTTGAGAGATTTTAAAGCATCGGTGAAGTGCTCCACATCATCCTGTAAAGTGTCTCTTACCTCATTCCCCCCTCCTTTTTTTTTTTTTGCTAAATTTGAGATATTTTCAGCTGTTTCTTCAAGTACGTGTCAGCCCTCCTCTGCTCCCGGGCTGGGGTTCCATGGCTGGGCATTCGGCTCTGGTGACTGTCCCACAGCTCCCGGGGGCTCCGCTCACGCTCTTGTATTTCCTCCGTCGTGTGATGGAGCCGTCTCCGTGGCTCTAGTGGTCAAGCTCATGGATTCTTTGTCCTGTTGTCAGGGTCGTCCGGCTGTTGAGCCCACCCCACGGAGTCTTGTTTGGTTGTCATATTTCCTAGTCCTCAATTTCTGTTTGATTCTTTGTTTTTCTTTGCCGAGAATTTCTAATTTTTTATTTAGGAAAGCTCTGAATGGCTTGCTGAAGTGTTTTAGATAACGGCTGCCTTAAAAACCCTCGTAGGGAATCTCCGCGTCTGTGTCCTGTCGCTATAGGTGTGTGCTGATTGCCTTTTCCTGTTCGGGGTGGACCTTCCCGACCCGGGGCTTCGCTTGTGTCCTAGACACTTTGGGAGTCACGTGGTGTGACTGTGGTGCCACTTGAGGCTCCCGCTGAAGCCACCGCCGGGAGGGCCCTGCAAATGGGTCCCCTCGGGGAGCATTCAGTGTGAGTTTTCTTAATACTGTGATGTTCACACAGTGACAAGAACAGCGAGATGGATCAGCAGCGGGAACAGTATGAAAACCTGAAGTGGCAGCTGCAGAGGAAGCTGGAGGAGCTCGAGGGCGAACTTGCTCTGCAGAGGCAGGTAGGCGCGCGGGTCTGGCCCCTGCTTGGTGCCTGCGCCGCTCGCCCGCGCTCACGCCGTGCCGGTGAGGAGAAGACGGCCTTCTGTGGACTGTGTGTACCGTGGGGTCAAAGTTGAATGAGTGGAGCAGGTTCCATCCTGGGGTGGCCTGGACAGGGCGGAGGGCGTCCGCACCTCGTCTCCCGTGCCTCCCTCCGTGCTCTCGCCCCTCAGAAAACAGTCAATGTTTTCTTCTTCATTTCTTTTAGAAAAAAGTATCACAAAGTCAAAATTTGTGTTGCTTACTGTAGGAAAGAGCTGGGAACTCAAATTGTGAAAACTGTATTTCTGTCAAGAAAACCATAGGTCGGGGATCCCTGGGTGGTGCAGCGGTTTCACGCCTGCCTTTGGCCCAGGGCGCGATCCTGGAGACCCGGGATCGAATCCCACATCGGGCTCCCGGCATGGAGCCTGCTTCTCCCTCTGCCTGTGTCTCTGCCTCTCTCTCTCTCTCTCTCTGTGACTATCATAAATAAATAAAAATAAATTAAAAAAAAAAGAAATTTGTTAAAAAAAAAAAAACCCCATAGGTCATCCTATTTTTTTTTTTTTTAAGATTTTATTTATTTGAGAGAGAGAGCGAGCGAGCGAGCGAAAGAGCACGAGCAGGGGGAGGGCCGGGGGCGAAGCTGACACCCCGCTGAGCAAGGAGCCTGATGCGGGCTCGACCCCAGTACCCTGGGATCATGACCTGAGCTGGAGGCAGACGCTTCACCCACTGAGCCCCCAGGAGCCCTGGGATCATCCTGTTTCAGGATAGATGTATCAGCCGACAGGTGGCACTTAAACCTGTCACCAAATTTCCCCTCATGATGCTGACACTCAGCTGCGCTCCTGACAGAATGAATGAGGTGTGCTGGGGTTTGGGTGAGGACGCCGTTCACACTTGTGGCCGAGTCCATGTCCCTGGAGCCCTGTGAGCGCGGGTGCTGGGGGGTCCTTCGACCGTGGGCTGAGCTGGGTCATCGGAGCCGTAGCAGCCTTTGTGGGGTCTGCCTCTGTGAAGCTCCTTGCACACGTGTGACCTCATCTCGCAGCAGAGACGCAGTGTCCACATGAATTTCACAGATGGGACTTAAAGTCACCTGCCCCCGATCCCCTTAATAAATGGCAGAGACAGAATTTGAGTCCATTGTAAACTCTTAGCCACTGTCACCCTGCCCTGGGATTGCAGTGGTTGGCAGCAAGAACTCCCGTCCTCCTCAAGGTCCTTCCAGCTTGACTAAGTCAGATCAGCATGAGACAGAGGCACAGGCAAAAACCACATTCAACAGGTGTATGCTTGGGGGGGGCCACACCGACACGGAAGTTGCAGAGTCAGGCACGGTGAGGTCTGAGCCGTGGAGAAGGGGGTGGGCGTCTGGGACTTCAGGGGAGAGCGCGCTCCTCCCGCGGTGAGAAGAGCCGATGTTTGCCCTGCCAGGGGCGCCCGTGTGACTCCTGATCTCAGGGTCGTGAGCTGGAGCCCCACGTTGGACGCAGACGTTATTTAAAGAAACATGCGTGTGTGTGTATTGAAGATGTCTGGGAAAAAAGATGTTTGCCCTTCCACACAGATCGGTCGCTCAGATAAACTTGATCTCTGCTAATGACCCTTATTCTGGGAAAGACGCCCAATTTAGCTGCTTCTGTGTGGTTGAGAGAGGAACAGAAGTTTCTCTTGAGGCTGCAGGGTCTCAAGTGCCTCCAGCTCAAACACTCCACATGCCGAAGTGTGCGTTCGGGGACGTCTGAGCCCCTCCACACTGTCCTCATCGTCGTTCTAGACGGCTGCTCACGCTAGCCGAGGAGGAGCCGGGTCCGAGGGCCGCTTGAGCCGTGTCTTCTCGCTGCCCGTCCTCAGCCGTTGGCTCGGGCTCGTTCCCTGCGTCGTCTTGGTGCGTGCGGCGCTGGCCGTGCCGGCTCCGTCCAGGCGCTGGGGCAGCGGGGGGTGGACCCGTGCTGCTGGCGGGCTGGCCCGACCGCTGGCCCGTGGTCCCGAGGCGCCGTGTCGGCCCCCGAGACAGGGCAGGGTGTCCTGAGAGGGGCCGTGCCCGTCGGGCCAGGAAGGCACCTGTGGCCGCGGAGGCGGCGGCCGAGGCCCTGCTCGCAGCCTGGCTTACTGCCGCAGCGCGTGGCGCCCTTTCCCTCCCCTCCGGCGGCTCCACACTCCTCCTCCGATGCCTGCCGGCGGGGCTCGGGCTCGGGGCGCCCGTGCAGCTCCTCAGACCTCCTGCAGGGACCTCGGAGCGGGTTTGGCTTCTGGAAACAGCTCCAGGCCTGAGCGGCAGGGCGGAGGCGACCGTCGTCGTGACTCACCTGGGAGTCATGAGGGTTCCTCAGCGGCAGGTCGCTCCCCAGGCAGGCTGTCCTGACGCTCGGGGGCAGCGCTGACCCGGGGACCTGCGGGGCTTTCCGGCCTGTCCCCACTGAGCCGCTGCTGTGACTCAGGCTGGTTCCAGCTTTGAGCTCCTGCGTCAGCCGGCCACAGGGGACGCCGGTTTCCAGAGCAGCCCTCGCTCTGGAAGGAAGGAAGCTTGATGTTGAAACTCCCCAGCGTCGCCGTCCCCCCGAGGCGGCTGCTGGGGCCGTGGGCGGCATCTGTCCAGCGTGGTTCTCGGGATGTGGCGTACGTGGGCTCAGCCCCGCTCTGCTGCCCACAGCTTGCTGTTTCGGTGGTTGGACTGGCTCTTAGGTGATCCCCTTCGGGCGGGTTTCCTGCCTCTTGTTCTGAAGGTCTTTGTGTCCGTTATTGACCTGTCAGAGGTAGGATGGATTCAACAGTGGCAATGATTTTTCTCTTGAAAAATGAGGTCTGAGATGATGGGAACGGAGTTGGTCTGTTTGACTCCTACTGTACCTGCAAGTAGTTGGCTCTGGGGCAAGGGAAGCCGCCTCCTGTGTTGCCGAGCGCGTGGCAGGAGTAGAAGAGGAACGATTGATTGATGTAGTCATTTGTTTAACAAATACTGTTGGCACGTGAGGTGAGTCACGTGCTCGGCGTCCCCCCAGGTCCTGGAGTTAGGACGTGAGCACCTGGACCTGCCTGCTCTGGGAGTGAGCTGGCCCTCGTGGGTCGGAGTGGACCCCCTAACAGTGCAGCCTCTAGTGGGATATCCCAAGGGTGTCACCTGCACGACCAGTAAGGCACAGTCGTCAGGAAGAGGACCCGTGAGCTGAAGCCTGCGGGCGGTGAGGGATGTGGAGGGAGGGGTGCTACCTGCATGTGTAGGGGGCCCGGGGCAGGCATCCCAGGTCAGTGGTGCGGAGGTGCAGGTGGCCACGTCGGGCTCACGGGCAGCAGCCCCGGGTACAGCAGCAGTGCTGTCAGGCCTCGTGGGAGGGGGCTCCTGGGCTTCCAGGCACACGTGTTGGGTGAGAGGGGACTTTGCACATTGGAGGTCAGGTGGGGGTCGCAGGGTACAGAGCTGGAAGCCCCAAGGGAGTGTAGCCAGAGGAGCCTTGGGCAGAGCCTTCAACGGGAGGGTGGGAGGCGAGGGCCGGTCAGAGGACCAGAGGAGGGTGGGCGCCCTGGAGCCGGAGAGCAGGAGGGTGGAGGTGGGCGTGAGTATGAGTCGGGCTGAAGCGCTCCTGGTTCCTGGGCTCCCCTCTCAGGCCAGCGCCGCCCTGCTGGCCCTGTGCATCCGCAAGACACCTCGCACCCGGGGCCCGCAGAGCTTTGAGCAGAAGCCAAATGCTTCGCAGTTTTGTGATAGAAAAGAATCCCACTGATTCTCCTATTCTGGACCCAATAAGGGGTATTCCTGTGACCCCTTATGCTTCGTTTTGCTTTTCAAAGGATGAAAAAAGTAAAACGTAAGCTCTTTTTTTCTTTTTTTTTTTTGAAGATTTATTTATTTATTCATGAGAGACACAGAGAGAGAGAGAGAGAGAGGCAGAGACCCAGGCAGAGCGAGAAGCAGGCTCCATGCAGGGAGCCCGACGTGGGACTCGATCCCGGGTCCCCAGGATCACACCCCGGGCTGAAGGCAGGCGCTCACCTGCTGAGCCACCCGGGTGCCCAAAACATATGCTTTCGGCCGTACTTCTGTGAGTGTCTGAGGCCCCGCTCGACCTTCAGAGACGCGGGGATCCAGCTGCGTGTATCCCGGGAGGTGCGCGGCTCCCACCTGCCTCCCTGGGAGAGGCCGGATGTGGCCACATCGTCGCCAGCAGTCGGGCTGCGTTCGGCCTCCCCTCTGAGCTCCCGGGTAGCGGAGTCTGCGGAGCCCCGTCGCCTCATCAGCCACGCGCCGGCTCTGCCGTGCTGTCCGCACGCTGTGCTGAGGGGCCTGCCCGCCGGCTCCTTTGTGGGGACGGCCTTCACGCGCCGCGGGTCACCTGTCCCCTGCTCTAGGCGCCGGGGCTGGGGCGGGTCACCGTGACACCGTGGGGTGGGACACACCAAGTCAGAGCCTGACTCCTGTTTCCCGGCCTCAGGGCCGCTCTGCCCCCACCCCTGTCAGTTCCTCACACGTGAGCCCATCTGAGGAGCCAGCACGCCCGCGCCTCAGTCCACGCAGCAGGTGGGCCGTGCGGGCCTGTCGCTTCTCACGGGGAGCGGGACACTAGGGCCCGACCGCGGTGAGGACCGGGCGTGGCGGGCGGGGCAGGGGCTCGGGGGCGCACTGGGCCTGGCCTGGCGTCAGGTGGAGGGCTTGCGTGTGCACAGTGCCCAGCAGGCAGGGGCTCCCTGAGCAGCACTACTCGCCCCCGGGCAGAAGGGGGGGCCGGCGCGGGCTGTGGGGCCTGCCGCACAGAGCGACGTGGGGGCCCGCCTGCCACATGCGCCGTCAGCTCCCAGGTGCCCGCAGTCTGCACCACGACCCCTTCGGACACTCGCACACGTGTAACCGCCAGGACAGAGGCCTGTGTCACGTGAAGTCCCAGCAGCCGTGACGGGCGACGCCTGTCATTGCGAGAATCCCACGGCACCCTGTGGCGGTGCCTGTTCCTTCCCTGGCTGCTGCGTGCCCCGGTGGCTGTGGCAGTCACCTTGCTGGTCACCTGGGCAGGGCCATTTCAGGCTTCTGGGTCGTTTTGGTTCCAGGCCATTACAGGTGACGTTGCCGAGAGCCTTCTCCGCAGGCCTCCGTGCATTTGGGTAAATCACTTGGGAGCAGAGTTTCTGGCTTGTGCGCTAGGGCACATTTAACTTTGTGGGACGCCGGCAGACTGTTTTCCAAGACACTTGTACTGTTACGTTCCCGGCCGCGCCGCAGGTTCTCGCCGCTCCATGTCCTTGTCAGGCCGAGCGTCACTGTCTCTCCCATTTCAGCTGTTCTCCGGGGTGCGTCGTGCTGTCTCCTTGTGCTTTTACTTTCCTAGCCCGACGGTCGGCGTGGGAGCGTCCTTTCAGGTGTTCCTCGGCCAGCGATACACCTTTTTTGTGAAGTGTCTGTTTACCTTTGCTGCTCCTCTTAGAACGTGGATTATTTGTCTTCTTGCCGTTGATACGTGAGAGTTCCTTATGTATCCCAGAAACAAGGCCTCGGGTACGTGAGCTACAAGCATCCTCTCCATCTTGGGCTCGGCCTTTTCCTTCCTCAATAGCAGCAGGTGATTGAACTTCGGTGACGTCCCGGTGAGCTTTTTGTTGCCTCATTCCTGAATAGGCGCATCCAACTGAGGCAGGATGGTGGGACGTTGAGATGGTGGCAAGTTGAGACTTGCCAGCAGCATGGGAAGGAAGCCAAGAGTAGCAGGGAAAGTGGCCCCGAGAGAAGAAATGGTTCCTGGGTCAGTGACCCTGAAGGCCCCACTGCGGGGTGAGGCTGCTGGGCGGTTGGCAGACGTGCCCACGCCAGCACCTGGTTGGCCCTGCCAGTCTAGCTGCAGACGAGCCGGCGATGCTGTGACCCCCTGCCCTCTCCACAGGTGAGAACTTGAGCCTGCCTGGAGTTGGGTGGGGGCAGGGCCAGCCTCGCCTCATGTTGTGTCTTAGTTTCCGGGCTCTTGGGGTCTCCCTGTGATTAGCGCCACCAGAGATAACCCAGGAACCGAGTGCTAGGAGGAAGGACCATTCACAAAACAAGAAAGAATTGGGACTGTTAACAATATATTTAAAGAGATAAATTCAGAATGTAGAGAAAAAAGAAAATCTGGGGAGAAGTTTAAGAGACACGTAGGATCAGCTGAGATGTTCAATGCAGCCATCACTTCCAGGGACAGGGTGGAAAACAAGAAGGGGCAGACTGGCGGGGAACGAGCGCTGTCACTTCCTGGGGTGGGGATTTCGAACAAACGGCCTGCAAGGCCCGAGCAAGGAGCTGAGGTGTTTCAGAGGCACCTGGAAAACCTAGGGAGTGGAGAACCTGGAAAACCTAGGGAGTGGAGAACAGACATGGCGGCGCCGCTGCTCAGCGGTGTGGGCGCAGGGCCCTCGCGTCCGCACACGCAGGTGGAGGGGCCTGCCCATCTGGGCTCAGCGGGGTCTCCCGGAAGTTACTGGAGCGCGCTCTAGCCTGGCCAGGGCCAGGGGCTCGGCCTTAGCCGCCTCCATTCCCTTCTGAGTTCAGGATGGGGGGAGCCAGGAGATGGGAGCTGGACAGGCTGCCAGGAGAATGAGGTTCCGAGCTGAGCAGGCGTCCCGACGTCCCCAAGATCGGTGGCCCCAGCACAGGGCCGAGCTGGTGGCCTCACATCCCAGAGTGCTCCGCAGGAGCCAGCGGGCCCGGGCCAGCCGGAGCTTCCAACCCCAGGGGGAGGCTGTGGGGGGTGTGGCAGGCAGCAGAGGCTCTCCCCAGAGGAGGGGGCGCAGGAGCCCTGGGACACGTGGGGAGCGTGAGGAGCAGCCGGGGAGACAGCTGAGCAGTAGCCCCGGAGAAGCCAGGCCAGAGTGTGGAGGCTGAGGCCTCCGGGGGCCACGGCCCAGGACAGGGGTCCCGCTGCCCTTGTGGACGCCGCGGAGGAGCTTGGGGGACCGAGGTGGAGGGGCTGGGGGTGAGCCGCTCCAGGAGAAACAGCGGGCTGTTGGTTGGTGAGCTTTTATCGTCACAATAACCTATGGAATTTCTGGAGTCAGCCTGGGGGTGAAGCTCAGAAGACTGCCTGCTTGCAGAGCCGGGGCCCAGAGCCGTGGGAGGGGGCTGGCCTCCAGGGCCCGTCCCCGCGAGGACACAGGCAGGGCGCCGTGGCACGTGCATGGCGTGCGGAGACCCAGCCCAAACTGTTGAAAGCTGTTGCGGTGCTGACCCCTGCACCGCGGCTTCTGTCCCAAGCCCCCAGTAGTGCACAGGCCCCGTGGGCGCCCGCAGGACCCCGTGGCACCACCCGGCAAGGACACAGATCGCGTCTGTGGGGGCACCCGGACGCCGCGAGAGCCCCCCAGGTTTATGCAGACGGCACAGACCATGTCCCCAGGGCGAGTGTGGCGCCTCCGCCACCAAGGTCCTGTGTGCCCGGCGGTGGCAGCGTCCGCCTCCTCTCACCGAGAGCCCTCTTGTTTCAGGAGCTGCAGCTGGAATTCGAGTCTGAAATGCAGAAGAGGGAGCACGGGTTCCGCCTGCAGGCTGACGGCATGAGCAACGCGGTGCTGACTCAGGAGCTCAAGGTGGGCGGGGGCTGCTCCCTTCCCTGCGGACATCGGACATCGTCCTGGGGGAGGGCGGGGTTCACGCAGAGGCCTCCCTTGTGGCACCGGGGTCAGGGGTGACATGCCTGAGGAGCGCCTGCCACCGTGACCACTACGTGGCTCCTCGCACGAGTGACGGAGGAGGGCTGGTGTCCCCGCTGTGCTTGCCCCCGCCTTGGGGAAGGGCCCCCACCCGGGATAACCTCCACCCAGCCCTGGCCAAGGCCTGTGTCCTCTGGGAGCACTCGGAACGGCCTCTGGGGAGGCGCTGCTCGTCCGCCATTTCCAGCAGAGGAGGCCAGGCCAGGTGGTCAGGGCCATGTGCGGCTGTGCGCCAGCCACGGTGCTCGCCACCCCTCATGGCTTCTCTAGCGCACGAGCCCCATGCTGCCAGGGCACATGCGAAGGGCGTGCACGCCTGACCTTTAGCCTGGAGACGGGTGGGGAGGGTGGGGGTGGCCTTGAGGGAGCGCGAGGTTGAGCAGGGGAGGAGGAAGCAGGGCGGACACCTGGCCGGGCCCTGCTGCCCCGGTGGCTTGCACCTGCGCGGGCGTCCAGCAGGTGTCAGTAGGGAGCGCCGCGCTCACAGTCGGGGTGGGGGGCCCTCCCGCAGGCCGCCAGCCTTCCCGCAGCGCCACAGTCCAAGGGGCAGCACGCGGCCAGCCCGAGGCCCCAGGATCCCGGGCCATTGTCGTGGTCAGCGTGCCGGGTGGGCAGCTCGCGGCCCAACCTCACCTCTGCAGGGCACCGCTTGTCGTGGAGCGCCAGCCTGTGTCCTGCCAGGCCCCCGCCTAGCCCCTCTGCACGGGCGCCCCTGACCACACTCCCCCTGCCAGCCAGGGGCCAGGCCCAGGCTGCCCCACGGCGACCCTCAGGAGGCCACTCGAGGACTTCTGAGAGCCGAGGGGAGAGGGCAGCTGGGTCGTGCAGGGCCGTGCCCTGAGCTCACAGCCGGGTGGGCACTGCTGTGAGGGTGGGGCTGGGGACACGCAGGGCACGGGCGCTGGTCCACCCCCCTCTGCGTGCCAGGCGGCTACAAACCCCCAAGAGCCTTCTCCCTGGAGGGCTCCACGCAGACGTCAGGGCCGCAGTTCACATTCGAGGAGACTGAGGCCGTGGTCTTACACGCCCCACCTGCTTGTGCGATTCCAGTACCTGAGCAGTAGTCACAGAGCAGCCGGGACCGTGTGTTGCGGCGATAGGCTCATGCACGCGGCCCCGTCGTGGGTGCAGCCAGGGAGCCGTGGCGGTCAGGTGGGGACGTGAGGACGCCCTCACGGTGTGCTGCTCTCGAGTTGTTTTCTTCTCTCCGTTCAGCCCCAGTGCTGGCCTCATTTTGAGCTCTTTATCTCTGGAAGGTGAAACTGTTGAACAAGGAGCTCGGGGCCCTGAAGGAAGCTGCCGCCCAGGCCGCGGAGTCGCTGCGGGGCGCTGAGGCCGCCAACGCGGGGCTGGAGGAGCAGCTGCAGCACAGCCGCCAGGAGCTCAGGGACCTGGCCGCCGCCAAGGACGCCCGGTGCGCAGCCACACCTGCCGCCTCGGGGCTGGGGGCTTCCGCCCGGCCCGGCTTGCTCCAGGCTGGCTGGCTGTGGGCCCGGCTGCTTTTCCCGCTAATGTTTCCTCCTTTTCAGGATAAAGGACTTGGAGGGCAAACTTAACTCTGTGCAGCTCTCCAGGAAGAAGGAAGAGGAGGTCTTCAGGAGGAAGTGAGTGTTCCCGGCTCGTGGCCTCCCGGCCCCGGGGTGAGGTCCAGGCAGAAACGCCCCCCGATCTGCGGCCGTCCGGCCTTTCAACTCACGGCTTTGGGTCTCCTTCCATGATCTGTTCAGGATTCTCAGTGGTAGTGAGGCTTTTTAGTGTGTTAAAACTTTCTCAAAAAATACATATACATTCTTAAGGTTTTAAGTCACCTGTACACCCAGTGTGGGGCTTGAACTCACAACCCCAAGATCAAGAGTCATGTGCCCCACCGACTAAGCCAGCCAGGTACCCCAGTGTCTTAAAGCTTTTGAACTTAAAAGTCTGGTTAACCAGGGGCTCCTGGGTGGCTCAGTTGGTGAAGTGTCTGACTCTTGATTTCCACTCAGGTCATGATCTGGGGTCATGGGGTTGACCCCGTATCTGGCTGGCCCTGGAAAAACAATGTTCCTCTTCATGTCCTCTTCTAGAGCCTTTTTCTTTTTTTTTTTTAGTTTATTTAAGTGATGGTTCCGTCCTGTGGGGCTCAAACTCACAACCCCAAAGTCAAGAGCCACACACTCCCCTGAGAGCCATCCAGGTGCCCTCAAAGTGTTTTTATTTGTAAACTGAAATCGTTGAAAATGAATATGATTTTTTAGCATATTATAAATATTGGCATTAAGAAGTAAAACTGAAAAAAAAAAAAAAGAAGTGAAACTGTCAGGGGCACCTGGCTGGCTCAGTCAGTAGAACACATGACTCTTGGTCTTGGGGTTATGAGTTCAAGCCCCACACTGAGTGTAGAGATTACTTAAATTTTTTTAAGAAAAAAAGAAAAAAAAGAAAGTAAAACCATTCAGCGCCCCCCTTTTTTTAAATATAAGATTTATTTATTTATTTATTTTTAAAGTTTTTTTTTTTTTTAATCTTTATTTATTTATGATAGGCACACAGTGAGAGAGAGAGAGAGGCAGAGACACAGGCAGAGGGAGAAGCAGGCTCCATGCACCGGGAGCCCGACGTGGGATTCGATCCAGTGTCTCCAGGATCGCGCCCCGGGCCAAAGGCAGGCGCCAAACCACTGCGCCACCCAGGGATCCCAAGATTTATTTATTGGGTGCTTGGGTGATTCAGATGGTTAAATGTCTGCCTTTAGCTGTGGTCATAAATAAAAAAAGAATTATTTATTTATTTGAGACAGAGAAAGAAAGAGAGCACAAGTAGGAGCGAGAGGTAGAGGGAGAGGGAGAAGCAGACTACCCTGAGTAGGGAGCTTGATGAATGTGGGCTCGATCCCAGGACCCTGAGATCATGACCTGAGCCAAAAATCGAGAGTCTGACCGTGATGGCTAATGAAATGAGTAGTTATTTCTGACTTGCATTGCCACCTGGTGCCCTGCAGTCACTCTAAACATCCCTTGCCGTTGACTTAGAAGCATAGGAACCAGCCCTTCCTGAGCTGCCAGAAATATCACATCTTCCCTTTTTCTCCTGCCTACCCTCCGATTTCTATCTGACTTTCTCAAGGACTTATATTTGAATATAACATATTTTTAAAGATTTTACTTATCCATTTGAGAGGGAGAGAGAGAGAGAGAGAGCACAAGTAGGGATGAGGGCCAGAGGAAGAGGGAGAAACAGACCCCGCGCTGAGCAGGGAGCCCGATGTGGGGCGTGGGGCTCGACCCCAGGACCCCGGGATCATGACCTGAGCTGAAGGCAGTTACTTCCCCGACTGAGCCACTCAGGTGCTCCTATAATGTTTTTTTTTTTTTTTTTTTTTGCTTCATAAATTGGGAATCAGTCTCCTCTAACAACGATACATATATTTATATGAACTAAAAACAATGAAATTTGCTGGGGTCACAAAGCTGTTCATGTTCTAAAACGTTTCTAAACGAGGGAATTCTGATAATTATTCGTATACTTTACAAAACGACATAATATACTGTAAAATTCAATAACTAAATAAACTCAGTCCCTTTAGGAATGCCCCCTGACTGAGGTGAGCGGCTGCGTGGGGGTGGCCACTGGCTTCTCTGGCAGCATCTCCAGACTTTGAACGCCTTCCAGTTATGACCAGGGCCACCTGCTGGCCTCACCTCCAGGATGTCTTTGTGTCCCGTGTCTGCTGGTGACGCAGCAGCTCCTCCAGCTCTGGGGGTCGGAGGGCTGCAGTGCCTGGCTCATCACAGGGTCTGCACACGGTCGGCAGGGTGGTTCATGTTCTCAGGTTCCGGAAGTGGGGATAAGATGCTTTTCTAAGACCTAATCCGTGACTGTTACACGCCAGGTGCCCTTGTACTTAGTGACAGCTTGGGAAGCCCCTCATCCTGAGACGCTGGGAAAACTGGGGAATTGTGACGCGGAGAGCATGTTCGTCAGCATGATGTGTATACAGCAAGATGCTTTACCATTTCTCCCTAAAACCTCAGGCTTGCAGATTTAGTTTCCATTTAGGGAACGTGTTCACAAGACCACCAAAGCCGCATCCTTCCTGAAACCACTAGCTTGGTCAGGTTGCTCTGCGAGAAAGTCTCACTTTGTTTTGTTTTTGTTTTTTTAAAGATTTTATTTATCCATGAGAGACACTGGTAGAGGGAGAAACAGGCTCCCTGCGGGGAGCCCGATGTGGGACTCAATCTCGGGACCCCGGGATCACGCCCTGGGCTGAAGGCAGATGCTCACCTGCTGAGCCACCTGGGCTGCCCTCACTTTGTTTTTCACTCCTGGTGAATTTGTGTATATTTGGAGGAGTATCCTCAAGACGCTGAGAATTACAGAACTCGCCTCGTACAATGCACTAAAGCAGTCTCGGTTAGGACAATTTATTTATTTATTTTTTTAATAAATTAATTTTTATTGGTGTTCAGTTTACCAACATACAGAATAACACCCAGTGCTCATCCCGTCAAGTGTCCCCCTCAGTGCCCGTCACCCATTCACCCCCACCCCCCGCCCTCCTCCCCCTCCACCACTCGGTTAGGACAATTTAGTGCTAATACGCTTGACACATTTTAAAACACATTAGAGCAAGTCTTAGAGCATGTGCAGATGCTTCGCTCAGGTCACACTGGGTGACGCTGTGGTGTCACCAGTGGCAGAAATGGAGCCAAGGTGACAACAGGCGGGCCTCCCACCCTGCAGTCTGGTGTTTGCCTTTTGAGAGTAACTAAACGACAGTCATGCAATGCAGCTCAGAAATAACTCACGTCCCTCGTTGTCACGATCAGACTTTTCCTGGTTTGATGGAGGAGAAAGGCCTATGCTGCCAGACACTGGAAAGCACAGCAAGTAGCACTTTTTTTTTTTTTTTGCTAATGGAAGGTAGTAAATATTGAACAGGTTGTAAGATAGATAAGATGAGGCTTAATTGCAAGTAGAATGGAAAGTACTCTAATGTGTCTTGCTTGGATAAGGCTTCACCATCTCACTGAAAATGCTGATGGATCTAAAAGAAACCACACAAAACCTTCTGGAGGACTCTGTCGGTTCAGCGTCCCACGTGATTTCTGTTGAGTTCATGATCTCAGGGTTGTGAGTTCAAGCCCCACATCAGGCTCTGTGTTAGTGTGAAGCCTAAATAACATACTTTCTCTCCCTCCCTCTACCCCCCCCCCAGTCTCTCTAAAAAAATATAAATAAAAGAAATTGTGTACAATTATGTATATATATATTTTAAAGATTTTATTTACTTATTCATGAGACACACAGAGAGAGGCAGAGATACAGGCAGAGGGAGAAGCAGGCTCCATGCAGGGAGCCTGACGTGGTACTCGATCCCGGGACCCCAGGGTCACGCCCTGAGCCAAAGTCAGACGCTCCACCGCTGAGCCACCCAGGTGTCCCAAATTTTATTTTTTAGTGTATTTAACTTTTTATTGAAACCAACTAGAGTAAAAGCATAAAAAGTCCTGAGCATTGCCCGTCAGCTGTCCGCACAACACCTGCCAGATTGGTGCTCTGTCAAGATGAGCGTCTGTCCTGGCCGTGGACATCTCATAGGCTTGGCATTTCCTGCAAAGACAGAAGCACGGCTGGCGTCCCATGGCCCCAAGTCACAGGGGAGCCCCAGGTTCCGGGGGATGCTGCTGGGCTGCAGAGGCAGCGCATTGCCTGTGCCCTGCTCTCGGGGGCTGGTCGGAAAGCCGGCAGGGTGGTGGCAGGACGGCTCTACTAGAGCTCCTGTTGTGGATGTTCTCTTCTGGGGGGTGTTGAGCTCCAGAGTCGTGCAAGGACCTGACATCTGAGCTGTTGAGCCAGTGTCTCCCTGAGGAGTGTGAGCAGGTGGGTGTGCTGCAGCTGAGGTCAGAGGTGCGGGACCCGGGGCGGGGGTGTGTACACTGCCGTGCCCCACCTGTTGCAGGCACCAGGAGCTCGACCACCTGGCCCGGGAGAGGGACGTGGCGCTGGCGGCCGTGAAGGAGGCCCACGCGGAGCAGCTGAAGGCGCTGGAGGCCCGGGCCCTGGAGCTGCAGGCCCGCTGCGAGACCCTGGAGCTGCAGCTCCGCAGGGCAGAGTGGAGGCAGGCCGACGCCCTGAAGGAGAAGGATGCCGCCGTGGACCGGTGAGTGCGGGCGGGCGTCTCGGCAGCCCTCTGGTCGTCTTCCCTAGCGCTTTGTCTCCTCTGTTGTCCACAGGAGTGTGTGCGTGTCTGCGTATGTGTGAACGTATGCGATCATTTGTGGGAAAATATACGAAGTGTATAACTTCCATGTTAACCATGTAAAGCGCACAGTTTGCTGGCGTTAAGTACATTCGTGTTGTTGTGCAGCCACCAGACTGACTTCCCATCCCCCCCAACCTCCCGGAAGCCTGTCTGGGCTCGGTGTCTGTGACACGGCTGACCCCAGGTCGCTCTTGTGAGTGGAATCCTCCCGTGTCTGTCACCATAATGCCTTGCAGGCCCACCCATGTCGCCGGTGACAGGATGTCCTTCCTTTCTGCAGCTGAGTAGGGCTCTGAGGTGTGGATGGACCACGTTTTCTTTCCCCACTCATCTGTCCATGGACACTTGGATCGTGTCCACCTTTTGGCTGCTGTGGACATAAGTGTGCAAATACCTATTCAGGTGTCTCTAAAATTTCAGGGGGGATCTATCCAGAAGGGGAATTGGTGGATCCGATGGTTTGATCATTTGAGGAGCTGCCAGACTGGTTTGCAAGCAGCAGATGCACTGTTTGCACAGGGATTACAATTTCTCCATTAACTGCTTTCTTACTAAACCCAGTTTTCTTTCCAACGTGTCGACCAGGCTGCCGTGTGTAGCGTCCAGGCCGACACACATGCATGTAGGACCATTGGAAATGGACTTGGAGTTGGACTCCACTGGCTGCCAGTGGGGAGGTGATCCTTGGAGAAGCTGTGTTTACTAAAAATGATTAAGATGGTCAACACGGTCATTGGCTCGTGTTCACCTTACTTAGCACTTACTGTATGTTTGGGACATGTGCCCGGCTCTGAGAGGGTGCTCTGCCAAATTATACTGCCATCAGGGGGACGGTGGCTCTTACCGTGCAGCACCAGGAAGTTAAAGCTTTTTCAGGAAGATTTCCTTAGATTGAGCAAACAGCCTTGTTTGATCTGTTCGATGCAAGCCGCAGTAGTTAGAGAAGCAGGAGTGACGGTCTAACGGGTGTGTGTGTTCCCGTCGTACCCTGGGCTCGGGGCTTCGCGTGGGCCCTTCTCTGGGCTGCTCTTGGGAATCTTCGAAGTTCCTTGTGTAGCAGCCCCAGGCTGGCCTCCTTCCACCTGCGCTCACCATCATAGCCTGTGTCTTCTCATACTAAGACACGCGCTGTGTGAAAGCCAGCAACAGGGCAGCCCGGGTGGCGCAGCGGTTTAGCGCCCCCTGCACCCCAGGGTGTGATCCTGGAGACCCGGGATCGAGTCCCACGTCGGGCTCCCTGCATGGAGCCTGCTTCTCCCTCTGCCTGTGTCTCTGCCTCTCTCTGTCTCTCTCTGTGTCTCTCATGAATAAATAAAAATAAATAAATAAAATCTTAAAAAAAAAAAAAGAAGAAAACCAGCAACAAAAACAGCCCAGATTTTGAGGTATTTATTTCTTTGGGCATATTTGTGATGATTTACCTGAGACCATCGGGTCGTGAACGCCACAGTAGAGAGGCCGTGGCCCCACGAGGCGTTGCGGGAACCCGACCGTGTCACATACCACAGATCACGACCGGCCACACAGGCCACTTCCAGTGCCCACAGTTAAGGCACAAAAAGACAGAAGGGAATTTAATCATGTTGCATGTCATTAACAGGTAATCCATATAAAAACCAAATGATATTTTGCCTAAAAGAATTACTACAGGAGGTATTTTACTATGGGAGGTATTTTACATTTTCGGGGTGCTAACTTTTGAAGCTACCTCTCAATTCAGACCAGCCACGTGCTCAGGAGCCATGTGTGGCCCGCGGCCCCGTGGTCAGCAGCACACCCGATTCTCAGGGGGAGCACCCCGCTCTCCAGAGCTCCGACCGTACTGGGCTGGGTTGGTCCGAGCAAATTCGAGCAGGAGCCAGAGTGTACTTGGGAGCACAAGCAGACCCTGTGGGAGGCAGATGGCTTGGTCGGTGTCTTTCAAAACTGAGAAGACCTACAAATGCAGCTCCTGAGTTCCAGCAGCTTCTCCCGTCCTCTCGTGGGGGAGGGAGCTGCCACACTTGGGGTGCATAGGAGCAGAGTCGGGGAGTGCAGCAGGAAGTCCGAGCAGAAGTTCCCTGATGCTATCTGAGGCCTGGGCAGGTGACCTCTAGGGCTGCAGCCGCTCTTTCCTATCTGGAAAGTCGGGAAAAGCCTCAGTGACGGGTTACCTGCTGGCCGAGGTCCTCTGCCCCTTAGAATTGCTAACAAATGGGTGACGAATCCAGAACGGGGTCCGGGTGTTTGTGTCCAGCCAGCCTCTTGGTGACGTGTGGTTGGGAGCGTAGCCGGAGGAGAGCCCTCACCCCCCACCGTGTCAGACACTTGGTGGTGCTGCAGCGCAACCAGCGGAGGCCCAGACCTGTGGGGACGCGGCTCCAGGGTCACATGTATCGGTCACATGTGCCATGTCGGTCACATGTGCCACCCTGGCAACGGTCCCTGCCTGCACTTTGTCACCCGGCCGCCCTGCGGTCCCGGAGCGGGCCCACACTCCTGTCACCTGCACAGTGTCGTACCTGGGTGTGCTCTGAGGTTCCCTACCCTGTGCAGCCCTCTGTGATTCAGAACAGGCCATGTTATTTTAGGTAAGGGTCAGGGTGAGTTTGCACGAATTGTACTAAAAAGGATTTGTTGAAAGCATATGAAGAAAAATGGTCTTTTTCCTGTGGCTAAAAATAACGCTGGGAACTCTGTTTTGACAGACTCTCTCCTCTGAGAACGTCTGTGACCCCACATTTACGACGTGCTGCTTCCAGACAGGTCGGCAGCTGGGCCCGAAGGTCTCGATGCCTCCAGGCGGGGCTTGCTCCCCCCCCGGAGGTGGCGATCCGCACCGCTCCCTGGAATGACAGGGAAGCCAGCGGCCCGGGCTGCGGGCGGGGGACCCGGCGGCCCGTCGCACAGCCGGTGCTATGGCTTCCCCAGCCTGTGTCTCTAGGTGTCTTCTCTAGTTTCTCTCCGGGGGTAAATTTACCCAAGTGTTGGTGAGATTCTACTGGGAGGTGGAAAGGGTTCTGTACGGCCTCATTTTACTGTTGAATTTGAAAAAGCTGTTGAACGTCCACGTGGGGGGCTGCACGAGGCGTGGCCACCCCAAGGCCTCCATGGCTCACCCATCCCCTGAACAGCCGGCGTCGGCTTGGCCTGTTGTAGGTCTTTAGTGGACACCGGGGTGGGTGGGATGGTTGGGTGGATATTTCTTCTTGGGTACGACTGTTTCGCAATCTGGGCGAGGAGGTCTCCGCCTGATGTGGAGACGTGGGTGTGGAGGAGACCCCCCGGTGTCGACTTCCTTTGAGGGCTGCGCGTGTGTGTTGGGGGCGCCACGTAAAAGAAAGCTTGAGGGGGCCGCACGCCCATATTCACGCAGCTCCCCTTCTTTGTGCAGACTTCGGGAAGATGCATTGACTCTGAGGTCGGGCTGGGATGCCCAGGTTGCTCAGCTGTCCAAGGACATAATCTCCAGGGACCTTCAGATTCAGTCGCTGCAGGAGGAAGCAGGGGAGCTCAAGGCACATCTGGCCCGGTGCCAGCAGGACGTCGGAAGGTGACTGCCCCCACCTCCTCCCCACGGGGGTCTTCTCCCCGCACGCCTCCCAGGGGCCCCGGTGCCATGCTGGGCGCTCAGGGTACAAACGGGAACAGAATCAAGGCCCCGGCCTCACATCCTGTCGAGGGAAAAAGATGAGAAACAGGAAACAGAAAACAAACATCTGGTCGTGAGAAGGGAGAGCAAGGGTGAGGAGGAGCTCGCAGGGTGGGGTGATGGACGGGCGGCCGGAGAAGGCCTTTCCTGGGCACCAGGCCGCGGTCTTGCTGCTTGGTCCCATGTGCAGTCACCCCTCGTGTTGCCTGCCCGACTGCTGACACCTCATCAGACGGAGTGAGTGCTTGGGTAAAGAGCGTGTCCTCTCCAGGAATAATTTAAATATAAGAAGATGCACTCACTTCACCTGTATGGTTGGTGAATCTTGACCCGCGTGTACCCCTCTCAGCCACCCCTACAGCCGAGACTGAATCCTGTCCCGGGCCTGCCGGCGCCCCGCAGTCCCCCCGAGCCCCAAGGCACCCGGGTGCGCTTTGCGTCTGGCTCCTCTGCGTGCGTGTTGCAGGTTTCCTGTGTTTCTGTGTCAGTTTTGTCTTTGGGGGAGTTTGCCCATTTCCCGCCGTCATTGACGTTACTGGTACGAAGCTGGCGGTGGTGGTCGTGTCTCCCCAGGTGTGTGGACCTGTTCTCCGTCAGTCTGGCTGGAGATCTCTTGATTTTACCAATCTTTTTAAAGAAATTGCCTTTGGTTTCATTGACTTTTCTCAGTTGTTTTCTGGAATTTTACTTTCACTGATACCTACTCTCATCTTCGTTATTTTCTTTCTTCTCGTCCTTTGGCCTTAATTTGATGTTCTTTTGACAGCTTCTAATGGTGGGGTCCTCGATTATAATTTTTGGACCTTTCTTCTTTTCTAACAAACGTAAGCGTGTCATGCTGTGAATTTCCCTTTTGAGCACTACTTTGCTACGTCCCACATATTTTGATATTATTTCATTAAAAATACTTTCTAATTTTCCTTGTGATTTCTTCTGTGGTCCATGGGCTGTTTAGAAATGTGTTGCTGAGTTTCCCGTCATTTTGAGATTTCCAGAAATCTTTTTGTTACTGGTTTCTACTTTAATTCTGTGGACAGTGCGGCGAAGGAAGCCATTGAGGGTTCGGTCGCAGTTTTCGGAGATGCCGCCCAAGGGAAAGAGCGGTTCCAGGAAAGGGGGGAAAGGGGGAGCCGCCTCCGAGAGCGACAGTTCTGACAAGAAGGCCCAGGGTCCCAAAGGTGGTGGTAATACAATAAAGGTTAGACACATTCTGTGTGAAAAACATGGGAAAATCATGGAAGCCATGGGAAAGTTAAAGTCTGGAATGAGATTCAATGAAGTGGCCACACAGTATAGTGAAGATAAAGCCAGGCAAGGGGGCGACTTGGGTTGGATGACCAGAGGTTCCATGGTGGGACCATTTCAAGAAGCAGCATTTGCCTTGCCTGTAAGTGGGCCAGATAAGCCTGTGCTTACCGACCCTCCAATTAGGACAGAATTTGGATATCATATTATTATGGTTGAAGGGAGAAAATAAAATGGTATGAAAGACTAATTCTGTGGACACAGAACCTACTCTGGGACCTGAGTGCAGGGAGCGTGGGCATGTGGACACGTGATGGTCAGGGGACAGGCTGGCATTTCCTGGCGTTGAACAAAGTATTGGCCCTCCATGGACATTTTAAAAATAAACAACTCGGGGGCACCTGGGTGGCTCAGTTGGTTGAGCGGCTGATTCTCGGTTTCAGCACAGGCCATGACCTCAGGGTTGTGAGGTTGAGCCCCACATCGGGCTCTGGGTTCAGTCCAGAGTCTGCTTGGGATTTTTTTCTCCCTCTGCCACTCCCCCAGCTCTCTCACTTGCTCCTTCTCAATCAATCAATCAATCAATCAATAAATAAATAAATAAATAAATAAATAAATAATCTTTTTAAAAAACGAACAAGTGGGCTCTCCCCAGCTTGTGAGGCCCCATCTCCCTGCTCTGAGCCTTTGTGTCTGAAGTTGTCCCCAGGTGTGCCTTCTTGAGGAGGAGTGCTGAGTTGCTGGGTGTAGGATGCTCAATTCCAAATCATTTTGCTCCCCTGGATTTTTTTTTTAATATTTTTAATTTATTTATTCATGAGAGACAGAGAGAAAGAGGCAGAGACATGGGCAGAGAGAAAACCAGGCTCCACACGGGGAGTCCGACATGGGACTCAATCCCGGGACTCTAGGATCAGGCCCTGGGCTGAAGGCGGCGCTAAACCTCTGGGCCACTCAGGGATCCCCAAACGTCCCTTTTATTACCTGGGTTTCTGTGGTCAGGAGTCCGGCTCGCTCAGCTGGGTCCCCGACAGAGGGTCTCACTAGGTGGGGACCGCGGTGTCGGCCAGGCTGCCTTTCTTCCCGGGCTGCTTCAGGCTGGCAGCAGAGTCCTTCCCAGCGGCTGTGAGCCGTAGGCACCCACAGGCCCTGACCCCGCGGTCACCGTGCGGCTGCCGCGTCTCAGGGCCAGCAGGAGACTCCCTCCAGGCGCAGTGCTGGGGCGTGTGGGTCCTGTGGTGCTCGCAGCCCGGCCACCCGGGCAGGGGCCACCCAGAGCCTCCCAGTGTGCGTTGCCCCCGTGTGGCCGACGGGGAGCCCGGCGCCCCTCTGGCACTGCTGTCCCTCACCCTCCTCTTTCTAGCTGGGACTCACAGTGCACAGGGCGTCTGTGCCGCTCCCCGCCTAGTGCTCGCGAGCTCGTCTGGTCCAAGGATGTGCATCCCCCGGTCGTGCTGGCTTTCCTCCTTCGTCTCTTGCATCCTGATCTCCCTGGACCTGCTCTTAGATGGACGCGGGTCCTCTCTGGAGGGCTCTGTGTGTGTCCTGGCGGCTCCAAGCTCTCTGCTCCCCTCTGCCCGCACTCCCGTGCTCTCCAGTGCTCGCTCCTCGCAGCTCTGAAATCTCACATTTCTCTGCTGGAATCACTTCTTTTTTTTTTCTTCAAGTTTGTTGGCTTTCCTCCCCTCTCTTCTTACAAATCAGTTCTTGTGTTTCCTGAGTTTGACCTTCCATGCTGCTGGCTTCTTTGGTGTTGGGAGTCCCTCCCTGCCGCCCACTCCTCTCTGGACCCGAGCTTGCCCGTGCGTGGGTGTCTACACTGCACAGGCTCCTCCCGGCTGCAACCCCTGAGCATGTCATGTTCCCGAGAGCCCCGGGGAGTGGGGGCTGGCCCACAGGGGCCCGACTGCCACGTGGCGGCGCCCTCCCTCCACCCCGTCGCCTGCAGCACAGCTCTGCTTTTCACGTCCAACACGGTAATGTCCGGGCTGTCCCATCCCGCAGGTACAAACAGCAGCTGTCGGCGGCAGCGGACAGGGAGCGGTGCCTGGAGCGTGAGCGGGCACAGCTGGAGCTGGACTGGCGGCAGCGCTGTGACAGCGTGGAGAGGGACCACTACCGCAAGTCCGAGGACCTGATCCAGGCCCTGACCGAGGCGCGAGATCAGGTCTGCACCCCCAGCCCCATCGGGTTCATCCTGCGCCGGGCGGGCCGGGAGGAGGGCTCTGGGCTCTCGCCACGTCATCGTTCCAGTTGGAAACTGCGGAGCCTCCCTGAGCAGCAAACATTAAGGAATGGAGCGCGTCCCTCTCCTGCCCGCAGCCGCCCGTAGCATTTTAGTGTTTATCATGGCAGCAGTGCCCCTCGGCGCCTGTGCTGGGATCCTGGGCCACGCGGGCCACTCGCTCGGGCGCCTGCCATCTCCCCAAGAAGGACCCCGAGGCTGGCACTGCGGCCCGGGAGCCCTCCCGGCGGGAACTGAGCCCCACGTGTGTTCCGTGTGTTCCAGGCTGCTGCCAAGCTGCAGGAGACCGAGCGGACGCTGCGTGACCAGGAGGTGGTGCTGCAGGCCTTGAGCCTGGAGAGGGACCGGGCCGTGGAGGCGCTGAGGACACGTGGGCTCCTCCCCGACAAGGAGGTACAGGTCAGTGCCAACGCCCTCACTGGGCCTCCGCCGGCGACGCCAGGGCCCCAGCAGCCCGCTCCTCGAGCCTCCCCTCAGCCCTGACCTTCCCCGCCCCGGCCCCTCCCAGTGTCTCTGCCAGTCTGACACCGAGAGGGCCACAGCAACTCTGGACGCAGACTCTTGTTTGTCTCTCAAAACCTCAGAAAACCCCACGTTCAAACATCATGCCATCCAGACAGTCACTGTAACACTGCTGTGGCGTGGGTTGCCGTGTGCCGTGATCCTGCCCGGCGGGACTACCGCGTGCCACCCGAGTGCCTCCCAGTGCCAGGCCGCCCGAGAACCTTGTCTGCTGGCCCTCCGATCTGGTGCTGAGGCCGGTGCTGTGGTGCAGATGCAGGGACCCTGTGGGGCAGCTTGGGAGGGGCAGGGCCAGGCTCCGAGCCCACAGCCCCGAGGTCCTCGGTCGGGGGGCAGGGCCGGCGCGAGGCCGGGGAGCCGACCGGGAGGCAGTGCGGGAGGATCTTTCCAGGCCTCCTGCTTACATACAGTGAGACACACAGATCTTTAGTGCGTGGCTCAGGTTTGCCATGAGTGTGTCCAGGGCGCCCAGCCTGCGGGCACGCCCCTCCCCACCGGTCCCCGTCTCCCCCAAAGCCCGCAGCTGCTCTGACTTCTGGCTTCTCACAGGGACCTGGGGGGGCAAGGTTTCCTCCAAGACGCTGCGGTGGCCGCCTGTGCGTAGGCTCAGCTCCTAACCGGTGTTGGGAGAGTTACCGTTTGGGCGCCCAGCCGGTCAGTAGAGCGTGTGGGCCCTGACCCGAGGTGTATGCTCCTGCCTTGTCCTAACCTGCCTGGAGCCCAGGACCTCTGCTTCTTCCCTCAAAAATGTTAAGTTCTCGCAGAGTCAGAGTTGACGTTTGATGATGACGTCTGGGTCGTTGTGGGCGTTGTCAGAGCCCAGGACGCTGACCCGGCATCTGTGTGGAGCGCGGAGGCTCCCCAGCGGCAGGAAGGCTGGGGTGCGGGGGGTCAGCGGGTGGCAGGGGCACCGGTGTCTTTCCTGCTGCACCGCGGGCCACAGGGTCGGATCACTTCCTCACTTTAGAAATTGTCAGGAATGCTTCCCGTCCTGGTAGCTTCGGCGCTGATGTCGGAGGGTGCACGGGCGGGAATCCACGAGCAGCCGGGGCCCTCCTGGACTGAGGCCCGCGTCTCTCCAGGAGGGACAGGACTAAGGGGCTGGAGTTTATCCCAAAAACACATGTCTTCACACGTGGCATCTGAGGCACCGACATGCAGCCATGGCCGTTTCCTCCCCACAAGATCCCTTCACTGATGGAGAGCCGCCCAGAGCCTGACACTGACCGTGAGGTGCCCACAAGCTGAACGGTGGCCCCGAAGGGACAGGTCGGGGTCCTCGCCACCAGCCCCCCGGGTGCCGCCTTCCGGGGAGACAGGGTCGCTGTGGCTGTGGGCGGCTCAGACGAGGTCACCTGGGAGCAGGTGGGCCCTCGTCTGGTATGACTGGCGTCCTTATGCACAGAACAGCACGGGGGGACGGGGACACGGGGAGCAGGCCAGGTGCCGGCGGAGGCAGTGTGGGGAGCGACGTGGCCCCAGAGGGGGCACCAAGGGGAGTGGGTGAGCACCGGAGGCTGGCAGGGGCGGGAAGGTTCTCCGCAGAGTCTCTGAGGGAGCGTTGGCATCCAGTGTGAGGCATGTGGCCCACAGGCAGCATCCCAGGAAGCCGCAGCCCAGCATGCGTCCACCTCACGGCCCCCGAGGGAAGCCACGGGAGAGGCGCCTTCTGGGACAGTGCCAGGTGGTGTGTCGGCACCGTCCTGCTTCCACCACCCGACCTCTGTCCTTCTACGAAAAGTCACTCAGCCGGTTGTTCGGGAGAACAGAGCTACTGGGATCCGCCTGAGGACCTTTCCAGCAGCCTGTCCCCTCCGCCATCCGTCATCAGCCTGGGGGGCGGGAAGGGCAACTGCAGGCCGGCGCCCGTCCACGGGCCTGCTTGCACCAGCGTGCACAGTAGCCAGGCTGCAGAGAGGAGAGCACGCACGGCTCACGTGCCCGCTGCAGAGGGGAAGCGGCCCTGGGCCTCTGGCTGCGCCCTGCGTGCTGGTGCTCACCCTGCGGTTGGTGTGCGAGGCAGGGCTGTCCTGGGAGTCACATGAAGGTCATACCCCGCCCACCATGCTGGGAAGTCACCCCGCTCCTGCCCATTCATGTGCACACCTCGGATCCTGTGGGGGGCCTGGCCTTGGGGCCCGGAGCCAGGGTGAGGGGGACGCAGCAGGCCACACTGCAAGGTGGTCAGAGACGTGGGGCCTCAGAGCCAGGATCAACAGCAGGAGGATGCTGTGCAGTGGTTGACACAGTGGGAGGACGGCCCCTAAGCCCTGTGGGTCCCTCTGTGCCGTGGGGCAAGGACCCACTGGCAGGTGAGCGATGGGCCATGTGGGAAGGATGCAGTGGTCACCGGGTAGGCTGCCCAAGCAGTCTAGGTGGGCCCCTGGCAAGTACGAGGAGGATGAGCCAGCAATACCCGCTGTGCCCGTGGCCGCACCGTCTTCCCCCCGGGCCCAAGTTGTGTGCGTGCAGCCCCGGCAGGGATGGTATTGGTCATCCCGCCGTGTCTGTCCCGCAAAGCACAGGCCCTCCCGGCACAGGGCGTGGGGGGGGGGGGGGCAGGGCTGTGCCCTCAAGGCTTCATTGCCACGCCGTGTCACAGATGAGACCCTGGCTCTCGGAGCTGGCCGGGCTGCCCAGGGGCTTGGGGCTAATGCGGTCTCTCCGTCGCACACTAGGAGGGAAGACCCCGAGACGGGTGGTCCCTGTCCCACAAGCAGCAGAGGAGGCGTTTGAGCAGGGCCGGGCCAGCGACAGGCCCCTTGTGCGGGAGCAGCTGGGAGGCTTGGTGGGAAACGTCCTGAAGGGCACAGGAAGGGGGTGGACGTTTGCAGGGAGATGGTGGTCCCTTTGCCTGCAGTGTCCAGGGGAGCCCTGAGCAGGGGGTCGGGGCTGGACTGCAGCGCGGGTGCAGAGCGAGCCGGGGACGGTGTGCCGGCGGCGTTGGGAAGCTGGGGCCTGTGTTCGGGAGATAAAAAACTCGCTTCCTTCTGGAAGGAGAAGCACCGCGTGGCCGCCGCAGAAATCCAGCAATTTCAGCTTAGCGGCGCGGCCTGTGGAACCAGGGGGGCCCGGGTCCGGCCGCTCAGCTCCTGTGGGGCCCCAAGCGCTGCCGCGTGCAGCCTCTGTCCCTTCTGTGGACCCGAATGAGTGGCGGGCCTCGTTACCTGGAGTGTCGGAGCCTTCGTCTGCGCCACGCGTCCCCTTCACAAAGCGTGAACGGGGGGCGTGACCCAGCACGAGGCTCGCCGCGGGCTCATCGGCGCACGTTGCCAGAGGCCGCGGCCTTCCCCGGGGCGGACCTTCGGGGTGCTGTGCTGCGGCTCTGGCGGCCTCTCCGTGTGGACCTCGTCCGTGTTCCCGGGCACGTGCTCTCTGGACAGGTCAGGTCTTGCTATCGGATTTGGAGGTTTTACCACTTGTGCAGTGACTGTTTTTTACATCATTGTAATTCTTCAAAACACGACGGAAATGGTTGTGTGTCGCACCGCACAGCCCATCCCTTCCGGGCGGCCGCTGAGATGCTCGGCTAGCCCCCGCCGCCCTGGTGCGCAGGCTGTGCTCGTGCGTCCCCGGGAGCTCGCCGACTGGGGCTGCAGGGGGCTGGGAGTTGCAGGCCGGGCGGCACTGGGGCGGCGGCCCCCTCACGTGGTGAGCACAGCTGTGGCCCTGCAGGCCTGTGTCCATGTGTGTGGGGTGACCCTGCAGGCCCGTGTCCATGTGGGGAGGGGACCCCACAGGCCTGTGTCCATGCCGGACGGAGTAGGGTCCTGCAGTCCCGTGTCCATGTGTCGGGGGGACCCTGCAGGCCCGTGTCTGTGCCAGGGGCTCTCCTAGGGCTCAGACCAGGACCAGGCAGTCTGCGGGGCTGCGCTCCCTGCCCCCCTCGTTCAGGCGTCGTGGTTCCCTGCCAGCGGGTCAGCAGACCCTCAGTTCTTGGAGCTCATCTGACTTTCTGGTGTTGACAGCCAGCAGCGGGCCCGCCGCGGTGAAGCCCTGTGCTCAGGGCCGTAGCCTGTGTCGCTGCCATTTCCGCAGGACGCCACCGCTGAGCGTGGATGCGGGGCCGTGGGGCGTCCCCTTCCTGCACGCCGCACGCCCACCCTCCCTCTGTCCCGTGGATTCCAGTGGCTGTCACGAGAAGTCAGCAGAAACCTGGTATCTGTGCCTGTGTGTGCCGAGTGTGCTGTGTTCTCGTCGCTTTTGGGCATTTTCTATTTCTGATCTGTTTTAGGAATTTGATGATGACGTGCTGTTTGGTGGGATTTTCTTTGTGTTTATCTTGCTTTGAGTTTGGTGGACTTCTTGCACCTGTGGTCTTATGTTCTCATCAATCCGAAGGTACCGCGGCCAGCGTGTCGTAACTGAAGGACTTCTTCCGCGGAGCCTGTTGATGCTCCCGTCTCTCCCTCCTTCCTGCGCCGTCTGGTCTGCTCCCAGGCCGTCCTCAGTGAATTTATTATTTCAAATGATGTCTTTCTCGTCTCTCCAGAAATTCTGGTTCTTCTAAAATTATCTTCTGGGGGCTCCTGGGTGACACAGTGGTTGAGCATCTGCGTTCGGCCCAGGTCCTGACCCCGGGTCCTGGGATCGAGTCCCCACGTGGGGCTCCCTGCTCAGGGGTGTCTGCTTCTCCCCCCCCTCCATGCACTGGCTCTCTCTCTGAAATAAATAGATCTTTTAAAAAGATAAATAAAATTCTCTTCTGTTCTTTTCCTTTTACGCCCATTTTCCTTCCTTTCCCTGAGTGTGTTTGTGGTTGCGACCGTGCTCAGGTTCTGACGGCCACGGAGCGTGTCTTCACGGTTCACCTGGGGGATCGCGTGTGTCAGGGCTTCACTCCTCTTCATGGCTGAACATTGCTCCATCTTGCCACGTTTTTTTGATTCATTCATCCGTTGGTGGACGGTTGTGTTTGCACGTTTTGGCTCCTGTGAAAAATGCTGCCGTGAACACACGTGTGCAGGTTTTGCCGGGGCCGTGTGTTTTTGGTTCTCTTGGGCTTACGCTCAGGAGCGGAGTGTGGGTCGGGAGTCACTCTGTTTGACCCTTGGAGGAGCCGTCAGACGGTCTTCCACGGCGATGCGCCGTCGCACACCCGCAGCGGCCCTCCCCGTGGGCACTCTGCCTGCCTGTCTTTTCCACACCAGCTGCCCCAGTAGCGGAGAAGGAAGCCGCCTGTCAAACAGCAGGCTCGTCTTCCCGGCGCCTGGAAGGTTTTCATTGTCCCCACCAGTTTAGGTGGAAGTTTCCTGCCGCCGGGTGGGCCGTCGGGAGGGAGTGCGGATGCAGCCAGCCCTGGACGGGCAGCACGCCACAGGTGTCTTCGTAGCTGTCTGCGTTTTCTTTTCTTTGTTGTATGTGCCAGGTGCTCCTAAGGCATCGTGAAGAAGAAACCAAGGAAAGTTTTCCGTCTAATGAGATCCAGAGGCTCCAGGAGCAAAACACAAGCTTACGAAGGGCTGTTTCAGAGATGAGGAAAGAAATGGAGACTCTGAGTGAGCACGTTCTTCCCCCTGCCCCGTCAGGGGGTCAGGCTGGCGGCCCAGAGGAGCCCCGGCCACGTCCAGAGGCAGCTGCGGAGGCTCCTGGTGAGCGAGGGTGAGGGCGGGGGCAGGGGCTGGGGGTACGCGGGTCTCCACGAGTCCCAAAGGGGCTCACTTGGAGTCTTGTAAACGAACATCTGCTTTAAAACATCACATCAACGTGTGGCAGCAGCCTTCCCCCGAGAGAGGGTTCGTGGAGTCCGTGTTCACAAAAGGGGTTACAGCGTTTTAGTGGTTGGGGACAAGGAGAGCAAAGGGCTGCATCCTTGGCACTTCCAGCTGGGAGCCCGCCGGCCAGGGAGCTGCTGGGCGCTGTTCGAGTGGCGGGCAGTGCGGGGCTGGGGATGCTGAGCCTCTCCTCGGGGTGTCCTGCGCTGTGGCGGAGCAGGGCCCCACCAGTGGCCCAGGAGTGGCCGTGAGCAGAGGGCCCCAGGCAGCACGGCCCCGCGCGTGAGACGCCGTGCACTCCCACAGACGCCGGTGCGTGGGGGTGAGGGGGTGCTGCCTGTCTGCCTCCTCAGGGAGCGCCCTCGCCGCGGGCGGGGGGGAGGGGGCATCATGGGCGGGCGGGCGGGGAAGCCGGCCACCCCAGCCCGAGTGGGCCTCTACCTGGGTGACGGCGACGGGAGCGTCCGTGTTTGTGCCTGTGCATTTACTGGGTTTTTTGGGGGCAGATCACGTTATGGTCCTTGAAACAGAAATACAAAATCTAAAGGATAAACTTAAAACCCTGGAGGAACAGATAGAAGATGTCTTAGATCCTGCAAAGAGGTCCTCATCTTACGCTGACGTTCAGCCCAGCGTCCACTGCCCGGCCGAGGCCCCCGGTAAGAGTCCTCGTCTCCTCCTGTTGCATGCTCTTCCCACTGACGCGGCCTTTGTTTTCATTGGAATATAAACGCTGCAGCAAGTGCAGGAAACGCAAAGGCACAGGTCAAGGAAGGATCACAGCCGCGGGTCCCTGTTCCCTGCGCCCGGGAGTCCCTGGGCCAGGCTGCTCACCCCTCCGTGTGGGCGCCTCCCTGCCCCCCACCTGCTCGGCCGCACGCAGATGCCCCCTCACCCGGCTGGGGCGCTGGCCCAGCGGAGGGTCTGCCTGGGGGACTAGGGGGCAGACGCCGGCCAGGCAGGGATGATGTACGGGGAGGGAGGGGGAGCAGGACCCCCACCTCCGGGTCACCTGGTCTCCACCCCGGGCTGGCGTTCCCGCAGCCCATCCCTCTTACTCCTTTTCCTGGCGGGGTCTCCCGTGGGACGCTGATCATCGCTGGGCTGTCCCTGATCCCGGGGAAAGCTTGGCAGCGTTTCACTCTTATACCTGCCCGGGGTTTTCCAGGGAGGCGAGTCAGAGTGAGGAGGTTCCTTTCTACTCCTGCCGTAACGCAGAGCTTTGTTTTTTATCGTGGTGCTGTCAGTTTGGGTTGGTGCGTTGTGAGGCTCTGTTGTTGGATGCTTTCAGCCCTAGGACCGCGGTGTCTGTACAGGGGACGGGCCCTCCTGTGCTGACGGAATGGTCCTGTCTTCCCGGCCGCCCTCTGGGGCCGGGTCCATCCACTCCGTGCTGCTGGTCACGCCACTTGGCTTCCTGTGGCTAGCGTCTGCTCCGCGTGTCTCTGCGGTCCTTTCCCTCTTGACCTGCCTCTCCTGCCCTTGAGGTGAATATCCTGTAGGCGGCACATGGGGCAGCTTCCAAAGTTCATTTTGCTGGTGTTTTTATAACTGATACGCCCATCGGTCACACCACCCACACTTGCACTTGTCGCGTTGAGTGTGCACGGCCACTTCCTGCCTGTGTGTGTCCCTCGGCCACTTCTTTCCTGCCCGTGGGTCACCGGTGTGCAGGGCCTCGGTGGCTGCAGGGACCACAGCCAGCTCCCCCCACGCTGCATGGCCAGCAGTGGAAGGCGGCGATCCTCCTGCCACTCGGGCCTCGTCCCCGAGTGGCTGTCGCCAGTGCCACCTCCCTTGTCGAGAACCACTTCGGGCAGGATGACCATTTTTGCTCTGGACAGTGAAATGTAGTTTTAAAACCTCGAGGGCAGCCCTGGTGGTGCAGCGGTTTAGCACTGCCTGCAGCCTGGGGTATGATCCTGGAGACCTGGGATCGAGTCCCACGTCGGGCTTCCTGCATGGAGCCTGCTTCTTTCTCTGCCTCTCTCTCTCTCTCTGAATAAATAAATAAATCTTTAAAAAAAAAAAAAAAAACCTCGAGAGGATGGAGCGCCTGGGTGGCTCAGTGGTTGGATGCCTGCCTTCGGCCCAGGGCGTGATCCTGGAGTCCTGGGATCGAGTCCTGCGTCAGGCTCCCTGCATGGGGCCTGCTGCTCCCTCTGCCTGTGTCTCTGCCTCTCTCTGTGTCTCTCATGAATAAATAAAATCTTTAAAAAAAAAAAAAAAAAACCTCAAGAGGAAAGATGTGAGTCTGTGGCGATCGGCCAGACATCGGCCCTGGAGGTCCAGGTGCTCCGACATCCGCTCTCAGGGCAGCTGTGCTGCCGAGAGTTCTCTGGTTTCCCTTCACCCGGAAGGGAGGAGCCGACGTCCCGGCGTTCAGCCCTTGAGCTGGCTGTGCCGCTTCCTTCCGAGAGGTCCTCTGCGGTTCCGTCCGCACCACCGTCCCCGAAGAGCCAGGGGCTGAGTCTATCGCTCAGGTCACAAATCTCAGGTGACGTGTCTGGACACGCACTTCCTCGGATCATCCTGTTTGGCGTTGAATTTGCCGAATTTAGGGAGTTTCCAGCTATTGCTTCTGCAGGTGTTTTCTGTACTCCAAGCTCTGTTCCCACGCAGGCCCGCAGGGGCGAAATGCTGGCTGTCCTGTTGGTCTCCCACGGGCCCCCGTGGCTCTGGGACTTTCTTCAGTCTGGTTCCTCTGTGTCCGTCTGCAGGCTCTTGGGCCTCGTCCCCCCGGCGCTGCTCTGGACCCTCCATGGGACTTCAGATCTAACATTTCCATCTTGGTTTTCCTTATCTTATTCCTCTGCTGAAACTTTTCTTTTCCCGTTGCTGTAAGAGCGCATCAGCTTGCGTTAAGTCCCCTGTCCCATATTCCACATGATCCTGTCCTGACGTCTGTGTCCTGGTGCTCTTTCCATCTGAGTCGGGATTATCCCGGTTACAGGTGTGATGAGTGACGCTGGATTGTGACGCACGTACCAGGTGCCACGGCCTGGAACTCTGACCCCGAGTCGACTCCGGATCTGTCAGGGCCCCGCCTTCCTCGGGCACGATGGGTGCCCGTACCCTGGCGCACTCCCGGGGGCACGTCTGAGTGGCCGCGCACTCTCTAGGACCTTCTGCTTGATGCCCTTGTGTGTCGCCGGCCCGAGGCCACTGACGTCCTGGCCGCCATCCCTGCGTCCCCGCCCCTGCAGAGCTCAGCTCTCAAGGCTGCGGCTGGATTCCTGCTGCCCAGTTTCCCCGTGGCCCCTCTGTAATCCTTGCCATGCGCTCGTCCCAGGAGGGTGCAGGCGGGTGGTGTGGGGTGAGCCTCTGTCTGCATCAGGCCCACCCTGCGGGGAAGGGGCTTGTCTGGGGCCTTCCGTGGTCTGAGCTCCCTGCGTTTCTGGGCTGCGGCTGCGCCGCCGGTGTCAGAGCTGGGAGGGACAGGAAGGACGTGGGCGTGAAGCCCCTGCAAGCATCCCTGGGCCCCTCGCCCTCCCCCGCGGGGCAGCCCCTCGGTCGCTCCAGGCCCTCAGCTGCGGCGAAGGTCTTACGTGCGGTCGCCAGCTCACTGCTTGAATGTCAGACCAACCGTCCATCTCTGGAATCAGCTCAGCAGGTGGCACATGTTCCTGAGTGCCATCGGCCTATGCCCGTTGCTCCTCAGGATGCCCCTGGTCAGGGTTTACGGTCACGGTTCTGGCGTCAGATGTATCGGAAGACGTCCCTCGTTCGTCTGTTTGCTGAAAAAGTTTGTATTAGATTTATGTTAATATTTCCTGAACTGACTAATAGACTTCAACCCTACCGCCCCCCACCCCCCAGGTTTTAGGATTTTCCATGTGAAAACGTTTTAAAGTGTGAATTCAGTTTTTTTTTTTTTCACAGTTAAAGGATGACCCAGATTTTTTGTGTGTGTCACTTTGTGGTGTTGTATTTTACTAGAAAGTTGTCCATTTCATTTAATTCTTCGAAAGTTGCCTATGGTATCATTCTATGGATTTTATTTTATTTTATTTTTAAAGATTTTATTTATTTATGATAGTCACATAGGGAGAGAGAGAGAGAGGCAGAGACACAGGCAGAGGGAGAAGCAGGCTCCATGCAGGGAGCCCGACGTGGGATTTGATCCCGGGTCTCCAGGATCGCGCCCTGGGCCAAAGGCAGGCGCCAAACTGCTGCGCCACCCAGGGATCCCCATCCTATGGATTTTAAAAGTCTGTAGGATCCAAAGTAAAACTGTGTTTCCAGATTTATTTTTTTTATTTTTTTTAATATATATTTTTTTAATTTTTTTAAATTTATTTATGATAGTCACACAGAGACAGAGAGAGAGAGGCAGAGACACAGGCAGAGGGAGAAGCAGGCTCCATGCACCGGGAGCCCCACGTGGGATTCGATCCCGGGTCTCCAGGATCACGCCCTGGGCCAAAGGCTGGCGCCAAACCGCTGCGCCACCCAGGGATCCCTGTGTTTCCAGATTTACTTGTGATTGTGTGGTTTTTGTTGACTCTTTCTGTTGCTTAGACTCACCATGGATTTATCTTTATAAAAAGCCTTTTGAGGAGCCCGTGACGCTGTATGCCCATGTTCTGGATCCTCAGGGTCTAGTGTGAGCTTTACTCTCTCTGTCCTTCCTTCTCCTGTATTTCGTTGGTCTTTTTCTCATTTCTTGAGACAGACACTCAGCTCATTGACTCCATCTGCGTTCTCTCCAGGAAGCTCTGGGGACACAGGTGTTCTTGCAAGGACAAGCTTTAGTGCATTCCTGACATTTGTTTGCTTTTAAAGTTTTTTTAAAAATTATTTTGGGGCACCTGGGTGGCTCAGTAGGTGAAGCATCTGCCTCCAGCTCAGGTCATGATCCCCGGGTCCTGGGATCGAGTCCCGCATTGGGCTCCCTGCTCAAGGGGGAGCCTGCTTCTCCCTCTGCCCCTCCCCCCGCTCGCATTTGCTCTTGCTCTCAAAAGAGTAAATCTTTTTTTAAAAAATATTTTATTTATTTAACACAGAAAGAGAGAGGATGAGCAGGGAGGGGCAGAGGGAGAAGCAGACCCCTGCTCAGCATAGAGCCCAACGCTGGGCTCGATCTTGCGACCCGGAGATCGTGACCTGAGCTGAGATCAAGTCAGATGCTCGACCAACTGACCCACCCAGGCACCCCTTATGAAATTTTTCTTAAAAAGATTTTCGTTTTAAGTAATCTGTACTGTCAGTGTGGGGCTCGGACTCACAACCCTGGGACCGAGAGTCGCACGCTGCACCAGCTGAGCCAGCCTGGCAGCCCTGCTTCTAGATCTTTTGATAAGCAGTGTATCAATGATAATTCGGGTCAAAATAATTTCTGACCTCTACTGATTCCTTCTTTGACCTATGCTGGTAGGAGCACCTTTCCTACCTCCCGGAGGCCTGGGAGGCCGATGCGCCGGGCCGCAGCCAGACACTAGGTGGCGACACTGCTGTTTCCCTGCAGAGAGTCCTGCATCCTTGACATGGGGACAGGGGAGGGCAGGGAGCATGTCCCCTGCCTGGACAGCACAGGCCCTGCACCCCAAACAGGGCAGGCGACCCGCATGTCCCCAAGGCAATAGGGCTCCTGAGCCTGACAGAGTCACTCTTTCTGCAGGAGGAGCCATGTCAGCTGGTCGTGCACCTGTGGGGCAGGCGCTCAGGAGGCTCAGAAACAGGACGCATCTCACCACCGTCCTGGTGGCCCGGCTCAAGCAGAAGGTACGGCCTCCCCTTGACACTGGGGCTGGGGGATCTCCCGGCTGGACCACGTGACTGCTCTGTGCCTCAGTTTCCCTCCAAGGGAGGGGTTACTGTGAGGTAACGTGCAGGCCCAAGACGGCAAGCAGTAAGACCCATTGAGTCCAGGCACCCATGGCAGAGCACGGGGCCTGCTATCTCTGCCGTGTGCGGGGCTGCGACCGGCCAAGACGTGTGAGGCTGGAGGCGCATTCAGGACACGCTGCAGTGAGAATGGGCTCCAGGGGTCAGGGCCAGTGTCCACTGTGCACAGACACCTCAGCAGCCCGACCCTCACCGTCAGCCAGGCTGCCTATCAGGAGTTAGGCCACAGTCGTGTGCTGGGCTGATGCCCCCTGCTTCCTAGGGTGCCAGCCCTCCTGTCACCTGTGCCTGAGTCCCAACACGGGCTTTAGGGTGCAAATGCAGAATTTCTGTTTTTTTTTTTTTAATTTTATTTATTTATTCATGAGAGACACAGAGAGAGGCAGAGACACGGGCAGAGGGAGAAGCAGGCTCCCTGCAGGGAGCCCGATGTGGGACTCGATCCCAGGACCTCGGGGTCACGCCCTGGACTGAAGGCAGACGCTCAACCACTGACCAGCCCAGGCGCCCCAGGAATTTTTTTGTGTGTTTCCTTTCATTGTAATGAAATACATAGAAAGTTTGTAATTTTGAGGTATAAGTTCAGTGATAATAACTATGCTCCCAGTACGTATAAACGACACCACCGTCCATCATTCTTGGATTATGCATCATCTGAACAGAAACTGTCCAAATCCAGTCAAGTCTAACACCCTTCCCCGCGGGGCACGTCGGTCCTACATGCGGGATGGACGACTGTCGTGGGACTGGACATGTGGAGGCTGTTAGTGACCAGTTACTGCGACTGGCCCTGCAGCAACTCTGAGTTAGTGACTAGTTCTTGGGCCTGGCCCTGCAGCAGCTGCACGTGTTTGACCAGTTCCTAGGACTGGCCCTACGACATCTTCCTAATGACCAATTCCTGGGACTGGCCTTGTGGCAGCTGTGATTTTGTGATCATCTCCTGCAACTGGCCCTCCGCAGGTGTCCATCTGTGACTAGTTCCTGGGACTGGTTCTGCGACTGCTGTTACTTTGTGACCAGTTCCTGGGACTGGGCCTTCAGCAGCTTTGTTAGTGACCAGTTCCTGTGACGGGCCCTGCGATAGCTCAGTTGGTGATCAGTTCCTGGGACTAGCCCTGTGCAGCTGTGACTTAGTGACCAGTTCCTGGGACTGGCCTTGTGCACCTGTGAGTTCACGACCAGTTCCTGGGACAGGCGCTGCGCAGCTGTGCATTAGTGTCCTATTCCAGCGACTGGCCCTGCAGCAGCTGTGAGTTATGGACCAATTCCTGGGACTGGCCGTGCGGCACGTGTCCATTTCTGACTAGTTCCTGGGACCAGTTCTTCAACTGCTGTTAGTGACCAGATCCGGGGACTAGCCCTGCATCAGCTGTGTGTTAGTGACCACTTTCCAGGACTGGCCGTGCAGCGGCTGTGAGTTTTTGACCAGGTCCTACGACTGCCGTATTGATGACCATTTCCTGTGACCAGCCCTCTGCAGGTGTCCATTTGTGACTAGTTCCTGGGACTGGTTCTGCGACCACTGTTAGTTAGTGACCACGTCCTAGGACTGGCCTTGTGGCACCTGTGACTTAGTGATCAGTTCCGGGGACTAGCCCTCATCAGGTGTGAGTTACTGACCAGGTCCTGGGTTGGCCCTGCTGCACTGTGAGTTTTGACCAGTTCCTGGGACTGGCCCTTTGACATCGGTCCACTGTGACCAATTCCTGGCACTGGCCTTGCACACCTGTGAGTTGGTGACCAGTTCCTGGGACTGGTGCTGCGCAGCTGTCATAGTGGAGCATTTTCTGGGACTGGCCATGACACAGCTGTGTGTTAGTGACCAATTCTGTGACTGACCAGCGGCAACTGTGAGTTAGTGACCATTTATGTGACTGGTCCTGTGACAGTTGTGAGTTCCTGAGCAGTTTGTGGGACTGGCCCTGCGGCAGCTGTGGGTTACTGACCAGTTCCTGGGACTGACCCTGTGCAGCTGTGAGTTGGTGACCAGTTCGTGGGACTGGCCTTGTGGAAGCTGCCTGTTAGGACCAGTTCGTGGGACTGGCCCTGCGGCAGCTGTGAGTTACTAACCAGTTCCTAGGACAGGCCCTGTGAGAGCTGTGAGTTAGTGACCAGTTCTTCTGACTATGTGACAGGTGTGAGTTTGTGATCAGTTCCTGTTTGTGGCCCTGCACAGCTTGAGTCAGTGACCAGTTCCTGGAATGGCCCTGCCACAGCTGTGCATTGTGACAAGGTCCTGGAACTGGGCCTTGGCAGGGATCCTTTTGTGACTACTTCCTGGGACTTTCCCTGGGGCAGCTGTCAGTTTGTGACCAGATCCTGGGACCTGCACTGTATTGGCTGTTAGTGACCAATTCCTGTGACTGGCCCTGCGACAGCTATGAGTTATGACCAGTTCCTGGGACTGACCCTGTGGCAGCTGTGAGTTTGTGACCAGTCCATAGGGCTGGTAGCTGGGCAGCTGCGTGTTTGTGAGCCGCCTGTTACACTGGCGACATGGGCTGCTGTCCCTTTGTTAACAGATCGTTTCTCTCATCACCATGTTCCAGGTCCGTCATCAGGGGGTAGCCTCAGCATTTCGTGATGCTTTCCAAGGCTTAACTAACATCCTATTCTGTTTCCCCCATCGTGGACACGTGTTTGTTCTCAGCTTTTGGCAATTGTGGATTATATGGCCGTGAATGCCATGTCTGAGCATCAGTGCAAGTCCCTGCTTCCCATTCTTTCCGGTACCTGTTTAGGAGTGTAACTTGTGTCCTATGGTAAATCTGTATTTCACCTTTTGAAAGACCAGGAAATCATTTTCACGTTTACTGCACTGTTTTATGTGCCCCCGCCCGTGTGTGAGGATCCCGACGGGCCACGTCCTGACCCACGTGAACTATTTTCTGTGTTTTTTTATTCTGGCACCAGTGGGTGCGAAGTGGTACCTTGCTGTGGTTCTGATTTGCATTTTTCCCGAGGACTGATGATGTGGAGCATCTTTTCATGTACTTACTGGCCTTTTGTTTGTCTTCTTTGGAAAAATATCTATTCAGATCCTTTACCATTTGTAATTGGGTTGTTTGTCTTTTTATTGTTGGGTTCTAATAGTTCTTTATATATTCTCGACACTAATCCCTTATCAGATGCACCATTTGTAGAATTTTTCTCCCATTCTAAAACTTCTCTTTTCACTTTCTTGCTAACATCCTTTGAAGCACAAATATTTTTGGTTTTTATGGTTTTGAGTTTTGTCTAAACGTTTTTTAAAAGATTTTATTTATTTGAGAGAGAGTGTGCAAGAGCACAAGTAGGGGTAGGGGAAGACTCCCTGCGGAGCAGGGACCCCCCCCACCCCAACACCAGGCTTGATCCCAGGACCCTGAGATCATGACCTGAGCTGAAGTCAGATGCCCAACAGACTGAGGCACTGGGCGCCTCTGTTTATTTTATTTATTTTAAAAGATATTATTTATTCATGACAGACACAGAGGGAGAGAGAGAGAGAGAGGCAGAGACACAGGCAGGGAGAGGGAGAAGCAGGCTCCATGCAGGGAGCCCGACGTGGGACTGGATCCCTGGTCCCCAGGACCACGCCCTGGGCTGAAGGCGGTGCTAACCGCTGGGCCACCGGGGCTGCCCGCGCCTCTGTTTAATCTATCTTTTTATTGCTTGTACTTTTGGTATCATACATCCTGTTTCCTTTTGCACAGGTATTTTTTCATGAGGCGACAGGAAGAGGAGTTTTCACATGTCCTTTTAAGTCCACAAATACATAAATCACACTGCTTTGTATGCTTTGCATCTTCTGTGGAACAGAACACACCGCTGAACACAAGCGTATTCTGAGCCTTCAGCCACTGCAGGATGCAGGTGGCACCCAGGAGGCTGGTGCTTTACCCTGCTGGGGGCAGTTTTCACTCTCAGGATGGAGGGGACTCAGCAATCTCCTGTTTCTGCTCACGGTGTCCCAGATCTGTGCACATGCGTGAGGTGAGGGCCTCAGGACGCTCAGACTTGCTGCTTCCAGCTCTGCTCACGGTTGGAATGTCACACACACGTGCGCACACACACGTTTACAAACAAGAAATAGACATTTAAAAAAGGTTTTTAACTTTTCCTTGGTAATTATAGGTGATACGATTATCACAAGGAAAAATGTTTGCCTCAAAGTGTTTTTTGCTTGTTTTTCAATTAAGCGTTTCCCAAATGGTCACCTCTTTGGGTGTGTATGTGACAAATTCAAAGAATGAAATATTCACCAGGGATTCGTTATAGGAGTTCCTGGAATAGAAACATATTTTCTCTTCCTGAGAATAAAACAGGAAAGAGTGTAGAGCAGATGTCATTTTTTCTGTCGCCTCCTCCTTTCCTTCTATCAGCAGGAGGACATACATCCAGAGAAGCTGCCAGCATGAGGGGCTGGCCCTGGAGCCCGGCCAGGGTCCCATTCTGGGGATCTCCTGGCCAACCTGTAACTTCAAGGCCACCCTGCGCCTGGGACCTCCCTTCCTGGCCCTCGTCCACCTCTGCCATCTGCGCTCCCCGCCCCCCGCTCCTGAAGGCCTTGGCCTCACCCCTCCTGCCTCACCACTTCCCATCCCAAGCCCCGGGGTGCCCCCTACGGGTTACCTGCATTTTCTGCACGTGTTTGTTTCTACCCGAGCTGGGCTCAGGAAGAGGGTTTTAGGCTGTCTGCTTCTGTCCCGCAGTTCCAGGCCTGGAGGCTCCCGCCAGCCTTGGCGCCTGCGTCCGTGCTGCAGGAGACAGGCAGGGCGCAGCGGTGGGGAACACGTGCATAAAGCCAGAGCCGAGGGACTGGCCACCGCGTCTCCTTTCCGGTCGTCCTGCGGTTCTGCTGGGCGCCTCCGTCCTTCCCCGCTTCCTCGCCCTCCTACCTGCCCCAGCCCACACTCTCCTTCCTAACCCTGCCCTGAAATGGCCCCCCAGGTGCTGCAGAGACCCCTGGACCCAGACATCATCCAGCACGAGCTTCCCCGTGATGTGGACCAGGTGCACCTGGAGGTTTTGGAACTGCAGAAGCAGATGGCTGAGCTTGAGGAGCATCTTGGGAGCAGACAGCAGTTGGGAGCCCCAGACAAGGCTGTCCTCGGTGGGGAGGTAGGTGCCCGTGGACCCTTGCTCCCGCCACCCTGTGCCATGGGGGACCCTGCTGCACAAGTCACCCTCCCGGGCCCCTGGTGCCCTGCCTCAGCTGGCTTTCATGTTGGGGCCTCGTCCTCAACAGAGGGGTGCCGCCCCACCTCCGGCCTCCAGGCATTGGGCTCCCACCATTTCAAAGTCCACCGTAGGGCAGCCCTGGTGGCTCAGTGGTTTAGCGCCGCCTTCAGCCCGGGGTGTGATCCTAGAGACCCGGGATCGAGTCCCGAATGGGGCTCCTTGCATGGGGCCTGCTTCTCCCTCTGCCTGTGTGTCTCTGCCTCTCTCTCTCTGTGTCTCTCATGAAGAAATAAAATCTTTAAAAAAATAATAAATAAATAAAAGTCCAGTATAGGAGGGGCGCCTGGGCAGCTGAGTCGGTAGAGCGTCCGCCTCTTGGTTTTGGCCCAGGTCGTGATCACACAGTCATAGCATCGGGCTCCACATTGGACTCCGCACTCTGTGGGGCGTCTACTTCAGATTCTCCCCCTCTGCTCCCCCCCCTCTAAAATAAATTTAAAAATCTTAAAAATAAAAATCAGTCCAGCATAGGAAACCCACATGTATGAAGAGGGCTATCCTGTTTCCTCTAGAAGTGAGTCCTTGACTGGCCAGGAGGGTTCTGGGAAGCCCTGAAATTGAATGCAAAATTGGGTTTTTCCTTCGAGAGACCCTGTGGGGATTCTGAGGACCCCTGTGCTCATGACAGTGGGGGTCTCGTGCCCTCTGCACCCGGGGCCCCACGGGCTCCGTGGCTGGTTCAGGCCAAGGCTCTGAGTGGGGGGAGAGCGTGGCACTGCTGTCCCCACAGATCTGACACACAGGCCACTTTTCTTACCCAGCACTGTGATGGAAGAGCTGTCAGGAGTGTGCTGTCTTTACTGTCAGTTACCCGTGGTGACCTGGGTCACCTGTGATCATCTTTGGGGACCTCGGGACCTGCAGTTACCCGCGGTGACCTGCAGTGACGTAGGGTTACCTCTGGTGACTCACAGTGACCTGGGTTACCTGTGCTGACCTGAGGTGACCTGTAACCTGTGCAGGCCTGCAGTCACGACTGTACCTGATGTCACAGCTCACCGCCCTGAGCTCTTTGGCAGAAGCAGTGTAGAAGTCAGAGGTTGTTCCAAGGGCAGGAGGGAGACGGCTCCAGGACAACTGCCAGCGCCGAAGGACCAGAGGAGAGGGTGGGTCCACTCCTCTCTGGCTCAGGAACACCAGGGGGACCAGCCAGGCCTTGGGACGGACGGACGGGGGAGGCAAGGCTGCAGGGGGAGGCTCCCGATTACAATCCGCCTGGAGAGCCCAAGCCCCGGCCCCTCGCCGGGCCTCCCGCTGTCCTGCAGCTCGAGGACACTGTCCTGGCCACAGAGGCAGGAGAGCAGCACGTCCGCCTGAACCCCGTGTTGGTTCCAGGGGCTGCCCACACTCGGGCCCAAGGTCAGCAGCACCAGAGCAGCACCCAAGGTTCACAGCCTGGTTCACGGACTCCGCTGCTTAGACGGGAAGAATCGTGCGCCTCAGCAGGATTTAAAATCAGGATGTTTAATGCTGTGGCTGACAGGCTGGAGCTGAACTGACTGTGACCTTAGGGAGAAATAGAGGCTCAGGAAACCCAGGGGGTGCTCCCTGTGCCCAGGCCAGGTCCCCCCAGGACGGCAGCATCTTGGGGGCCCAGGAGCCTCCAGTGCCAAGAACCTGGTTTTGGAATTTCTCACTCTGCTGAGAGGAAGCAGGCCCAGGCCCGGGGGTGGGGGTGGCGAGATCCACCACGGCACCTGGAGACGGGACAGGACGCAGCTGCCAACGGCCCCGGCGCTGGCCGCGGAGTAAGCGGGACTCGGGTCTGTGCTGACAAGGGAGGAGGCTGGGCCTGGGCCAGAACAGGCCTGCAGACACGGGGGCCGGGCGCTGGAGGCCATCCTCGTGCACCAAGGAGTGTCTCCCCCCGTGACGGCTGTTTCCAGGGAGGCAGCCTGCAGACGCCCCTTCAGCAGGGGATGCGCTGCTGTCGTGGACACTGGGACAGAGGGATGTCCGGGGCTTCCAGGCCAGCTGCCCCCAGGGCTCCCGGCCTCACCGCGGGCTCGGCCACAGGGGACGCGCCACCATCAGCGGGCCCGCGCTGTGGAGCCTGTGGGGACCTGGCGGTGGGGTCCCGTGCCCCGGGTGAGAGAAACAGGCTGTAGGCCGCGCTTGGACAGCTGTGAGCTTTGCGTGTGGCCGGCGTGTTAGGTCGTAGCGTCGTATCCGTGGTAAATGTCTGGTTTTCATAGCTGTGGTTACGAGCAGAGTGTCCGTTTAGGAGAAGCACAAGCGGGAGCCTCGAGGCATAAATGAGCAGCTTGTCTCCAACTTCTGCCCGCGGTCCCGGAAGAAATTCCTATGGTGAGGGGGGCTCTTGGCTTCCTGTCCTCGACAGCGCCCCGTGCGGCACTCGGGGCACCTGGCCTGGCGCCCAGGGTCCCCCGCCCTCCTGCCCTCCGCTCCTCCCAGTCCTGAAAACCCTGCGGCCCTGAGCTGGGCGGCAGGGACGCCCTGGGGCCACTGGGGGGCGGTGTCCACCAGTCCTGCCTGCGCCCGGGCGTGCAGAGGATTGGAGCCCCTCCGCGAAGTCAGCCTCTGCGGAGCGCGGTCGCCGCCGCCCTTGGGAACAGAGTCCTCCCTGGTGAGGGCGCCTCAGCCGGCCAGACCCTCACTGCGCTGCGCCGACCTGCGCCTGCCTGGCCGGGACACGGGAGCAGCCCCCAAACAGGCGCGGGCGGACGGGGCCAGCACGGGGGACCGCGTGGGCCCCGAAGCGTGCGGCAGTTGTAAGTCCTGGAACGTGTCATTGGAGCCACTTTCCTCTTAAGTATCTTGAGCGTCACTTTGCAAAGGCTCCTTTCGGGGTTGCTCACTGAAAATGGTGCAGGAGACTCCAGCGTCATGCTCCTGTGGAGGCCGGGCCTCCGTCCCCCCTCCCTCGAGGTCTGTCCCACCCCACAGGCCTGAGGACCCCAGTCATTCCTGGCCTTTGGAGACCGCGGGCGAGGCCGGTCCCCGTGCAGTTGGTAGTGGGCCCACGTCCATCAGGGGGAAGGGTCTGGATTGGGTGTTGGGCTGTGGTGCCGCAGGGCCCCCTCCCCGTCCTCCCTGCTGCCCCCCTGCCCCACCTCCTGCCCCCCCAGCCTGCGGCACATGCTGGAGGCGCCGTGCGTGGTGGTCACGGCTCTAGGCCACCTGAAGAATAGGGGCCCCGGAGTGCACAGGTGCCTGCCAGCCCTGGAAGGGTACACCGGGAAATTGGGGCCAGGACAGAACGTGCCAGTCTGTCCCAGGGACTCCAGGCCGGTTTCTGTCCTGGCTCTGGCCCACGCGGTCAGCACAGGGCACAGTGTGGCTTTTCACGGTGTCAGGAGCCGCCGTGCCTAAGTAGGCCACCTGCCTCCCTCGGGGCTTGGACGCCGTTTCCTCCGGGCCGCTGTCTGGCACACGGTCCTCACGCACACTTGTCTTTTCCTCTCTCTCATTCTCTGACCCCGTCGTTCTGCACACCCTCCAAGTGTGGCCGTGTGCCTGTGCCCTGTGGTGACCGAGCACGGTGACCCCACAGCACACGGTGCAGGAAGAGTAGAGGAAGGCTGGCGCCTGCCACACACCCTCCGTCAGGCCTCTGCCCACCCCTCCACACCAGGTGACCCCAGGACCTGTGACCTGTGCACCCAGCCCAGGCCCCGCCGCCACATGGGGGATCCAGTCACACGCGGCCCCCGTGGATCCTGGGCCCATTGGAGGCTCCCTCTGGCTCCTCATTGTCCTCGCCAGAAAGGCGCGGGCCCAGGGGGCGGAGGGGGGCGGCTGGCCAGTGGTTCTCCCCCGGCCCACCTGCGGAGGAGGGGCGTCCATGATGTGAGGCCCCCGTCTCACTACGGAAGCACAAGCACGCTGAGCCTCCCCCCTGTCGGCCACCTGCACCCACCGCACGTAGCCCCTCCCACCCAGACGGCTTGTCTCAGGGCTCAGGGACCCTGTGTCTGTGGCTTCCCTCACAGGTCCCTGCAGACCAAGGACCCCCGAGGACAGAGGACTTGTCTGTGCCCCGACTCCAGCGGAGACTAAAGGAGGCGACCCGAAAAATCCTCCGCCTCTGCGAAGAGAAGGAGCAGCTCCTGGAGATGGGGAACAGGCTCCGTGCAGCGCTGGCGCGCCCCCCAGGTAAGCTCCCAGGTGAGGCGGGGGCTGTGGCTGCAGGTCCTGGGGAAGGGGCGAAGGGGCAGGAGGGACCCGGGAGGTGGGAGGAGAGCGAACGGGGTGGAGGGAGGCCTGGCCTCTCGGAGGGAAGCGGGGTCAGGAGTCCAGGGCACAGAGCAGAGCTGGCCCTGCGATGGGCGTTCCGTGACCCCCGCCCCAGCAGCGTCGGTAAGAAAAATATTGCAGTTGGCAAAGCAGGCGGTGCCCTGTGCTGCTTGCTGGGCACCGGCCCCGGCTGCCACGTGCTCGGCCCGCTCCGCCGTCTTGTCGCCAACGGCCACTGTGTCGCCACCGAAACCAGGCCGAGCCCAGCGGCAACGGAGGGAGCGGTCCCTGTTTCCCTGTGGCCTCAGAGGCCGCTGGCTTTGCCGATAATTTAGTCAACACAGGGCAGCCCGAGTGGCTCAGCGGTTTGGCGCCTGCCTTCAGCCCAGGGCCTGATCCTGAGGTCCCGGGATCGAGTCCCACGTCGGGCTCCCTGCGTGGAGCCTGCTTCTCCCTCTGCCTGTGTCTCTGGCTCTGTGTGTGTGTGTCTGTCATGAATAAATTAAAAAAAATTTTTTTTAATTTAGTCAACACAGGTTCACTGCGGGAAGTATAATTCATGATAATAATATTTCCCAAACCAACAGCGCACAGGCCACTCTCTTCCTCAGCTGGTAAGGAGTAACGTACTCCAGAGCGACGGCCAATAATCGCAGTTGTTCCCCGCAGGGGAGGTGGAGGAAATAAGGTCCAGATCGTGCTGAGGTGACCCTTGCTGCCAGGGGACCTTGGGAGAGCCGCTGTAGCGTCATCCCTGAGAGCAGACGCCCGGCTGCCGGCACACAGCCAAGGTCCCTTGTTGGAGGACCAAAGGCACCGGCGTTGGCGGGCAAGGTGGCGTCCTTCACAGGGCGGCTGCGTGCTTGTCACCACGGCCGGCCAGGACTAGCCTTGCCCAGACCGAACAGTCGGTCAGCGCCCAGCACGAGCCACTGGCCGTCAGACCGCGTCCACGAGCGGCCCCTCTGTTTCCCTGGGGCAGCCCAGTCCTGACGCTGTCGCCCTTTGCCGCACATGGCTTCTGCCTCTCTGTGCTTTTCCAGCAAGAGCTTTGAGGTGCTGTGACCAGAGCCGAGAGGTTCGGGCTCACCCAGGGTCGAAGGGGACAGGCCGTCCTCTCCTGCCCGTTGTCTGAAGTGGAGAGGAGGTGGAGGGCTGCAGGCCGCCAACTACTCTGCTTCAGAAGGAAAGCCCAGAGCACCGCAGAGGGCTCGTTGGCAAAAAAAGCGTTTCGTCCGTCAACTACGGACTTGGCTTCCCTGGGCAGGTCCTTCTGGTTCCAACCACCCAGCGCTCAGACAGGGGAAGCTCCAGCCTTGTGCCTCGTCCTCACGGCTTCCCGTGGCCAAACTGTGTGGATGATAATAGAAGTTGTTAATATGTTACTGTTTTTGGTGTGAACACGGCCAAGAGAATTACCCGGTGAGCAGCGGGAAGTGGAACGTGGGAGAACCCAGGCAGCGGGGCAGCAGTGAGCGCCTCTGGGAGAGACGGTGCAGGCCCCTGAGGAACTCTTTTTTTTTTTTTTAATTTTTATTTATTTATGATAGTTACACACACACAGAGAGAGAGGGGCAGAGACACAGGCAGAGGGAGAAGCAGGCTCCATGCACCGGGAGCCCGACGTGGGATTCGATCCTGGGTCTCCAGGATCGCGCCCTGGGCCAAAGGCAGGCGCCAAACCGCTGCGCCACCCAGGGATCCCCTCCTGAGGAACTCTGAAGACGAGGCCGGTGCGTCCCAAGAGCTGCCTGGCCGAGTGGCTGCCATGGGTCGGGGCCCGAGCGGCAGAGCAAACAAAGCCTCATGGGTAAAGTTAGCCCAAATCGCTCTTTGCAACCACACAGGATGTCCACCCGACCGCGTGGGGTGACGGAGGAGAGGCTGTCCCAGAGGCGCCGTCCTTCTGAGGGTCCACCTCTGGAAGCAGGGATAGCAGACGGGCCCGACCCGATGCGTCTCCCGATGCTGTCAGCCTGCACAGCAAGGGCAGGGGTGTCGTGTGCCTGCAGCCCCGGCAAGGACTGCCTCTGCCTCAGGACCTGCTCCATGAGGGCCCTTCCCCGTCCTCCCTCCAGGTCGCAAGTGAGGAGCAAGGCTGACTTTGCCTGTTCGTCAGACACACTTCCAGACCATCTTCTGCCAAGTTCAGTAAAAACCTTGTCCCTAAAAACAACAACAACAACAAACAAACAAAAAACGACCTTGTTTCTTCGGAGGACCGGCCCACCTGCCTTGGCTCTCCTCCCTCACACCTGTCCTTTAGGTTGGCAACTGCAGCAACGTCAGCATTTATCGCTGATTCTCCTCCTAAATTCCATTCTCCTCCTGTCTTCTAAACCAGCAACACCCTCCCACAGCTGAACTTTGCTGCTCTTGACTTTGGCCTCCATGCCACGCTGTGCCAATACCAAGGTGCCCTCTCTCAGCCCCCAAGGCCCCAGAGCTTTCCTCTGACTGCAGCCATGCCTCCCTCTTCCTCTGATCTACATTCCAGGAACTTGTCTTTCTTCCTCGTTGTGGTTACTTATACCCAGCCTGGCCTATGGCCAAGTACTTCAGTGAGTCACTCAACACCCACCCACTCATCCACCCATGCCCCCATTCATCATCCATCCATCCATCCATCCATGTATATACGTCCATTTACTCATCCACCTATCTGTCCATTCACCCATCCACTCTCCCATCCACCTGTCCACCCATCCAATCCACCTGTCCATCCGTCCACCTACCTACCCATCCATACACCCACACATCCACCCATCCACCTACCTATCAATTTATCCATCCATCCACTCCTCCATCTACCTCCCCATCCGTCCATGCACCCACCCATCCATCCATCCATCCATTCATCTATTATCCATCCATCCAATAGAGAAGCTACTGCCATGTGCCAGATAGGTCCGCCTTCTGTAATTTCTGCATCACTGGGCATCATATCTGGCTAAATTAGCTGTTTTCTGCCTCATAGTGTCAGAGAAAGCTACAGATCCCTACTGACTAAGTTTGTAGCCTCCTCTGAAGGTTAGGGAGACCTCAGGAAAGGAATTTTCCATATTTGGTGACTTTGTTGTTTTTTTTTAAGATTTTATTTATTTATTCGTAAGAGACAGAGAGAGGCAGAGACACAGGCAGAGGGAGGAGCAGGCTCCATGCAGGGAGCCCGACGTGGGACTCGATCCCGGGTCTCCAGGATCACGCCCTGGGCTGAAGGCTGGCACTAAACCGCTGAGCCAGCCCGGGACCCCTTTGGTGACTTTGTTAATGGTACTTTTAACTGCCTTCATTTTCTTCTACGGTGATTTGTTTATGTGGGGTTTTTTGCCCTTTCTTGCATTAATTTTGGTCATTTCCATTTTGCTAGGAAACTACCCATAGTCCCCAGCCTGTAAAGTGCCACCGTAGAGTAGTCCATAGTGGCCCATAGTGTTCTGCTCTCTTCTGGGCCTGTGGCTGTCTCTCCCCACCTTCTAAAACCTTCATGTAAGCTGTGGTGTGGGGGTCAGTCCAAACTGCCTTTCCCCATTGGCTGTGCACACATTACCTCAGTGCATCTTTGCAACAACCCAAGCATGGAGAAAGGCTTCCCTGAGTGACATTAAAAATTAAAATAGCCCCATAGGCAGAGGAAGTCCGAGAGCAACAGATATGATGGCATTACATTTTAAAAGTCTCTAAGGAGGGCAGCCCCAGTGGCACAGCGGTTTGGCGCCGCCTGCAGCTCGGGTGTGATCCTGGAGACCCAGGATCGAGTCCCACGTCGGGCTCCCTGCATGGAGCCTGCTCCTCCTCTGCCTGTGTCTCTGCCTCTCTCTCTGTGTGTCTCAATAAATAAATAAACAAACAAACAAACAAACAATTAATTAAATCTAAAAAAAAAGTCTCTCAGGAAACAACATCGTAAACACAGATAAAGGCTGGTGACAGACTGGGGCAAGGGGTGACGACATGTCCGACAGGTGAGGAGGATCAGTACCCCAGGTGGCGTGTGCAGGTCACACACAAGGGCCGGGATGGCGCGTCCCAGGAGATCCGCCTAGCTGACGGTGCAGGTGACACGCGGCCTCCCCAGGAGCCTGAGGAGCAGATCAAGTCAGTATTGAGTTTGGATCTCAGGTGGGAAATCTCACACTCGGGGCCCCAGCGCGCCCTGGTGTGGATCCTCATTGGTGAAGCCTTTTTGGAGGGCGATTTGGCTCTTCTGCGAGGTTTTATAACGTCCATACCCTTTGAATCAGCAATTCTTCTCTTAGAAATCTATGTAAAAGATTTTTCACCAACGTGAACTAGATGCACGTGCGAGGATGTTCTCGGCAGCGTTTCGCCGTGAGGCAGCGATCAGGACTGGCGTAAACGTCCGGCGTGGGGCCCTGGCGTCCAGAGCATCCCCGCGGGGAGCTGCCTCCGCCCGGCCTCAAACCACTTGGGGTGGAGAGTTCTTCCCCGTTGCCTTCCAGTGCATTGCGGATGACACTTGGGCGACTACAGTCGAAAGGTGGCGGTCCCACAGGACTCCCAAAAGCCCTGGGGCTTGCGGTCATTGTATCATTTTGTCACGAGCCCGGAGCAGGCGGGGACCGCGGGCCTGCTGGCCCCTCGTGCACCTGCTGCCTGTCGTGCCGGCCCGTGAAAGAAGCAACCGCAGGAGAGTACGTTTGCCCCAGCGAGCGCACGAAGAGGGTGTGTGTGCGCACGAGCGGGGCTGCGCACATGCAGAGGGAGGACCGCACGGAAGTGTATCGATTTCAGTTGGTGGTTTGGGGAGGAAGATCGGGACCAGACCCGGGGGGTTTTCTCTGTGTATTATTTGCAGTTGGCAAATCTACCCAAACACTCTACATTCGTTTCGTTTTGGGAAGCGTCTTCCCCCGAGGCCGAGGCCGGTGGACTCCTGCTGCCCCGGGAAGCACCCGGGCCCCTTGGCAAAGGCCCTTGGCAAGGCTGGTCTGTCTGCATTTTTTTCACAAAGACAATTTGGTTTGTAAATACATAGATCTGGTTTATAAACCAACTGTGACCAACACATCTCGTCATTTAACAACATTAATAATGTAAGACCATCCGGCCAAGGTGGCGCGCCAGCCCTCCGTCCATCGGCAGTGGTTTCCAGGTGCTTCTCCAGCTCCTCTGGCGGGCGGCTCCCAGGCCCTCCCCACGGGGAGCTGGCGGTCGGGCCTTCGTGGCCTTGGCTCTGGCTGCTCAGTCTTCATCGCACACCCCCTGCCCCCCCCCGGGTCAGGCTCCCGCGGTCCGCCCCCACTCATGCGCTCTGCTCCCAAATAATTAAATCTTTTTAAAAAAATGATTTGGTAACAAAAGAATAAGTTAGGGGCCTAGCTTTAGTTAGCCTGCTAACCCGACACTACTTATTAGGCACGTGTCCATAAAGAGTGAGATTATTATTTACGTTTACTACATTTATTGTTCCTAACTGCACATGCATCTAAAATCTCGATGTAAGACTATAACTAAGGTAGAAGCCGGGATCTCCAGGCACGTCGTGTGTCATTGTGTGTCCTGCTTGACTGGCACTCGTGCGGCCTGGCCCCGACACCGGCGCCCTGCCACAGCCGGCCGAGGCGAGAGCTGCGCCCCGGGCTTGCCCAGTCTCGCCCGAGGCAGTGCCACTCTCGGTGTCTTGAAATGATTTCACGGTGGCCATTTCCAGTGGCCTGGCTGGAACGAGACCCCGACACTGGCATCTTCTTAGGATCCTTTTTAAAAACAAATGCCCCAGTGTCTTCCGAACAGTTGGGTTTTCTGAAGCCGGTTTCCCGTCCTCGTCCTCGTCCTCGTCCTCGGTCCCCTTTTCCTCGGGCTGCCTTTCTCCTCGGTCACCAGCCTGTGCCTGGACGAGCTCAGTTTGCCTTACTTTAACCTGCTTAGGAATTGGTTTGTTTTCTGAAATCTTAAGATTCAGGGTTGTTTGTGTGTTTTTCCCATTTGAAATTCTCAGCCATTGTTTCTTTAAATACTCTTCTATTTGTTTCTAATCTCTCAGGAGATCTCATGAGACCTGCTGGAAATCTCTCCCATCTTGCTCTCCCCCCACCCCCACCCCCGCCACCTTCCCCCTCCCCCTCTCTCCCTCCGCCTCCCTCCCTCCCTCCGTCTCCCCGGCTTCCCTCCTGTCTCCTGGGGATCCCTCAAAGGTAGCCGGGCGGAGGGACTCCTGTATCTTTACATGGAGTTTACAGCTCGTGTTTGTTCATTCCTTTTCTTTGTTTGTTCTTTTCCTGATTTGTTTAACATTTACTTTATTCTTTCTTGTTTAGTAATTGCTTTCTTCCAAGATTTTATTTATTTATTCATGAGAGACACAGGCAGAGGGAGAAGCAGGCTCCCTACAGGGAGCCCCATGCAGGACCCCGGCGCCAAGGGAGGCGCTCAACCCCTGGGCCCCCCGGGTGTCCCCTGTAATTGCATTTTTTTAAGGTGTGAATTCTCCATCTGAGTTTTGCATGGCCATGTCTCAGAGGTTTTGAGGGACAGTGTTATCAGCGTGATGAGCTTCTAGATACCCTGCCTTTATGCAGTCAGGTTTTCTATTTCATTCTAGTTGTTCAGGAGAGTTCTAGAATTGTTTAATTTATTTTCAAACACGTGTTGAATTGTACTTTGGAATTTGTTCTGTTAAGCAGTCTTATTATACATACTTAGGAACATTCTTTCTGAATTTATATGTATTGGCATCCCTGGGTGGCTCAGTGGTTGAGCGTCTGCCTTCAGCTCAGGGTGTGATCCTGGAGACCTGGGATCGAGTCCCGCGTCTGGCTCCCTGCATGGAGCCTGCGCCTCCCTCTGCCTCTCTCTCTCTCTGTGTGTGTCTCTCATGAATAAATTAATAAAATCTTAAAAAAAAAAGAAAGAAAAAAGTAAAAAAAAAAAAGAATTTATGTGTATTTGTCGACTTGAACTGCCAGGAACCATGATTTTTTTAAAAAAAAGATTTTATTTATTTATTCATGAGAGAGGCAGAGACACAGGCAGAGGGAGAAGCAGGCCCCATGCAGGGAGCCCGACGTGGGACTCCATCCCAGGTCTCCAGGATCACACCCTGGGCTGAAGGCGGTGCTAAACCGCTGAGCCACTGGGCTGCCCACGAACCATGATTTTTGTGTTAAAATCATGCACAGCTCTTATATTTCTGCCCTGTTCTCCTTCCCTTCTGCACCGTCGTGCCGCGTCCGTCTTCCTGCAGTGTCCGTTAGCGTGAAGTGCCCTCAATGGCTGCAGCTCATCTTGGTTCAGGTTGTACAGTGTCCTTTCTGATGTTCAATAACGTTTAATGCTATTTTTATTTATTTTTTTAAAAGATTTTATTTATTTATTCATTTATGAGAGACACAGAGAGAGAGAGAGGCAGAGACACAGGCAGAGGGAGAAGCAGGCCCCATGCTGGGAACCCGATGTGGGACCCGATCTGGGTCTCCAGGATCACGCCCTGGGCAGAAGGCAGGCGCTAAACCGCTGCGCCACCCAGGGATCCCCTTAATGCTATTTTTAATCAGGTGTTTAAAAGGGTTGTTTCCAAAAGTAAAATATGACTTAAACAGCTATGAAAATGAGCACAGGTTTAGGATTTTCTTCTCTCCGTTAAACAGTGAGGGGACCAGTCAGATGTTACAAGGAAAAGGTCAAACATGAGTTTATCTGGATTAAAGAAACTGAATTACAAATGGGGAGATCAAACTGGTTTTTCTAAGAGGGAGGGGGTTGCCAGTGGAACCTTAGAGGGACAAGTCACAAAGAGCACGGCTGTCAGTGTGCAGAGTAGCTCGAACCCGGGCAGCAGGCCTTGCGTGTGCAAAGCGTGCTGCATATGGTGCAGTTTCCACTGAAGCACACATTTCTTCTTACCATTTTTCTGCTTGTTGGTAAAACATAATCTCAAAGAAGGACCATCCATGATCACTAACAAGGCTGGTTCGTTGGCCGGATTGTTTCCAGAGGTGTAGCAAAAACGTGAATTAACCAAACAGGCGGGCCTTCCTGCATGTGCTCTACTGGAAGTTTCATCAGGAATCCAGATTGGACTTTAAAAAGTTGTCCTGAGGCCATGAAGCCAAGAACTCACCAGGTTTCATCTGCTGAATGCTTCTGAGAAAATTCCTTTCTTCTCAAGTGTTTGGAAATATCCTGAGGCTCCCAGCTTTCCATAAGCTGTGAACCTCAGCTCCATAAGGTCAAGCACGGTTCCTGCTGGTGACCTGTCCTCACAACCAAGTGAGTGTCGTCCTTGAATCTGGCCAGGCAGGCAGGGCCATGGCTGCACCATCCAAGTGTCCAGTCAAATCTCAGGATCCCTGAGAATCTGTGCAAATAAATGACCATATTGCCAGGAAGGAGCTGAGAAACAAAATTCAACCCAGTAAATGTGTAGATCTAATTGGCTCCTTATTAAGCAATTCGTGAATCAGGCGGCATCCCATCTAACAAGGAGGGAGCTCCTCAGAGCTGTCCAAAATGGAAGGTTTTTATGGGAAGGGGAGTAGGGGCAAAAAGTTATTAGCAAAAGAAAAGGATTGTTTAAGGCAAGGTCACCTTCCTTATAGGTTAGGGTGGGAGTCTTGTCCTGCCCAGGACCTCCTCTTCCTGTGGGGGTGGAGAGGACCCAGTGGCAGACCCTGTACTGATTGGAGAAGTCCTGACAACCAGTGAAAACTACACTGCTGGGGAAGGTTGAAATGCACCTAGGTCAGGCATAAAGCCCCGGTTTGGGACCAGGCCTAAGTGACGCCACTTCGGGCCTGTGATTTGCTTTTATTTATCTATTTTTTTAAATCAACATGCTGGTTGCTTTATTTTTCGTTTTAAAGATAACACTAAAATCAGAACCTCTGAACTTACTATACTTTTCTGAAAGTATCAAAGAGTAGCTCCAATCCTAAAATGATATTGGCAGAGGCTGCTGGGAAGATGGCAGAGTAGGAGGATCCTGAGCTCACCTCCTGCGGTGTGGCCACCTAGAGAACAGCCACATTGGCATAAATAAGCCAGAAAGCCACTCGAAGACTGGCGGAAGAGACTCTGCAGCTGGATGTAGGCAAGAGGCCATGGCCCAGTGGATCCATCCCCTTTACTTTCCTAATGGAAAGTAATCAAGCTGAGCAGATAAGAAGGAAAAAATACACAAAATGAGCAGAGACCCAGGGGGCTCAGCAACACGGCCAAGCATGATAACAATGCCATGATGGGGATCCCAAAGGAGAAGAGAGAGAAAAGGAGGCAGAAGATTTATTTGAAGAGCTAATAGCTGAAAATTTCCTGAATCTGGGAAAGGAAAGAGAAATCCAGATCCAGGAGGCACAGAGAGACCTCAAAAAACCAAGCCAAAGAAGTCTGCACCAAGACACAAAGTAAATAAGACGGCCAAAAGTAGTGATCCAGGGGGAATTTTAAAAGCAGCGAGAGAAAGGAAAGCAGTTACACACAAGGGAAACCCCATGAGGCTATCGGTGGATTGTTCAGTGGAAGCTTGCAGGCCAGAAGAGAGCGGCATGATATATTCAAAGCACTAAAAGGAAGAAACCCGTAGCCAAGAATACTCCATCCAGCAAGGCTTTTGTTTAGAACAGGAGAGAGAGAGTTTCCCAGAAAAACAAAAATTAAAGGAGTTCATGACCAGGAGCAAAACCAGCCACATGCCCCTCACACACGATGTGGGCCCCAAATCCGCAGTCCCACCTCCCTCCTGCCCGAGGTGCGCTGCCGGCAGCCTGCTCAATGCCAAGTCAACACGCCTTCACCTCAGATCGACAGGGACTCAAACTGACATTCTTCCCCTCAAATTCCAGCCCCTGTGCTTAATTTTATGCACAAAAACGGGCATAATTATAACAACAGAATGAAGCAACCCAAATTCCAAACTTCCAAATTCTGTGGAAGATATAAAGGATAAAAGGAGCGTACTAGGCTGAGAACATCTCCAATAAGCACATCAAAGAGCAATACATACAGCGTGACTCTAAGTACTAAAAGAAACAAACCCAGGAAAAATAAAACAAGACAAAATCAGAGAGAGAAACAGACCATAGAGGCTCTTAATCATAGGAGACAGTGAAGGTCGCTGGAGGTGAGGCGGGTGGGGTAACTGGATGATGGACACGAGGAGGGCGCATGATGCCCTGAGCCCTGGGTGTTATATAAGACTGATGACGAATCACTGACTTCTACCTCTGGAGCTAATAATACATTATGCGTTAATTAACTGAATTTAAATTTATAAAAAAAAGAAATCCCCCCCCAAAAAAATACAATAGCATCCATAAAGCCAATATTATTCTTATGAGTGTCAATGGGCCATCCTGAAACCAGGTAAAATATAAGTATCTTACTGTGTACTTTTTAAAATAATTTATTTATTCATGTTAGACACACAGAGAGAGAAAGAGGCAGAGAGAGAAGCAGGCTCCATGCAGGGAGCCCGACGTGGGACTCGATCCCGGGACTCTAGGATCACACCCTGGGCTGAAGGCAGGCGCTAAACCGCTGCGCCACCCGGGCTGCCCTCTTACTGTGTATTTAATTCGAAGTGTTGCCACTGAAATCAGTTACAGATGTTTATTCTGAAATGTGCTGCTGTGAAGGCTGCAGACTCAACTGTGGTTAGTGGTCTTCCAAAATTAAATGTATGGAATATCCAGAAAATAGGTTGAATTAGAACTTGTAGACAGTTTTCAAATACTCACTAGTAACAGTTCTTTGTTTTCAATTGCCACATGGTCATAAACCAAAGAGACAAATAATTTCAAATGATCACAGATACTATTTAGGCAAAAATGATCCTGTGTCAGTACTTTTAACATTGCCTGCATCAAATTATAATAGAAAGGTAACTATAAACGAGATGCAGGCCCTATTTTCGTGAACAGCATAAGAGATGATAGGAAACCAAGGTCACATTCTGCCATCAAGTGTGGCTCCCCCATTGATTCACTTTGTGACAGGTCATTAAGAACATCTTTACATCCGTGGGACGCCTGGTGGCTCAGTAGGTTAAGTGTCTGCCTTCAGCTCGGGTCATGACCCCGGGATCCTGGGATCCAGCCCCACATCGGGCACCCGGCTCAGAAGGGCGGCTCCTTCTCCCTCTGCCCTTCCCCCACCTATGCTCTCATGCTCTCTCTTTCTCATAAATAAAGAAAATCTTTTTTTAAAAAAAAGAGAGAAGAAGAAGAAGAAAAGAGTATCTTCACATCCAATAGTCTCCTTACCCCTGAGGATACTCGGAGAAAAGTTTGAGCTCAGAAGAAATGGAAGACTCTGAGCCTGTTGCTCTGCCTTGAATTCCATTTGTAATTTTAGCAGAAAAAATTTATTTTATCTTAGTTGAGCTGGAACTTTTGTTCTGATAATTCAAGAGGATGAGTGGGCACAAGTTCATTTTTCACACAAGGAAGGCCTTTTCGAAGAAGATGACTTTCAGCGGCTGTGCTTGCTGAAGGTTCACTCGCTGGAATACTGTCCCTTAGCCCAGTGCTCAGCGTCTGGCACTGCCTTCGGCTCACTCGGGGACACGGGGACAGCCTTCGGGCCGCACCACCAGCCACCCCACTTCCATTCCCGGGCTGCCCCCCCGGCGGTTTGCTTGTCAACAGAGCACTGCCCGCAGGGGTCCCCGAGTCCTGGAGGACCTAGGGACACTGAGTGTGAGCATGAGGTGGTGTCGCGGGGCTGGAGGCCTGCTGACCTGACCCAAGCCCGTCGCCTCGGCTCACGGACCTGGACCCCGACCTGGATGCACACCGGCCACACAGCTTGCTCTCCTGTCTCTTCCCTCCCCCTTGGCTCTTTTCATCAAAGTAGAACTTTTCCCACAGCAACTGCCTCGTCTCGCTCTCCCCGCGGCGGTGTGCATGGTCCCCCCCCCCGCCCCCGCCAAACGCCCTGCCCCAGCGGTGTGCATGGTTCCCCACCTCCCGACCCCAGTCGCCCCAGCGGTGCACACCCTCGCTCTCCCCACCCCCCACCCTGCGGTGTACACGGCCCTCGCTCTCCCCTCCGCCTCCCCCCGTGCACAATGCACAATGCCCCGCCAGTGTGCATGGTTCTCACGTCTCCGCATCCTGGCAACACTTCCCTTTTTCTTCTGTCCGTCCTCATGAGTGCAAAGTGGTCTCTCACTGGGATTTTCATTTTGCGTTTCCCTGATGACTAAGGACGTTGACCACATTTCCATGGGCCTGTTGGCCATTTGTGAGGCTTCGGAGTCCACAGCTCTTAAGCTCAGGTATTAGAAACTAAGGAAAATAAATGCATTTCCAACTTTGTCTTTCCCATGTCCTTTCATCTCCTGGAAAAACTGATCTAGGGAATCCCTGGGTGGCTCAGCGGTTTAGTGCCTGCCTTTGGCCCAGGGTGTGATCCTGGAGTCCTGGGATCGAGTCCCGCATCGGGCTCCCAGCATGGAGCCTGCTTCTCCCTCTGCCTGTGTCTCTGCCTCTCTGTGTGTCTCTCATGAATAAATAAATAAAACCTTAAAAAAAAAAAAAAAAGAAAAACTGATCTAGTACCTAGGACCCGGCCCAGGAGGCCCAGGGTGGCACAGGTAACTTCATAACCACCCAGATGTTAATATGCAGTGTGTTCACCAGCACCATCTTCAAATGAATAGATAATAAGCATTTTAAAAATTTCCGTTTCAGTTTCTAGCACAGTCCACCTCAATATTTACAACTCCTACGCACAGGAGCCTCGTTAGAGTCCTCAGTAAGCTTGTGTCTAACCAAGTAGATTCTTATTCTGAGAACAGTAATTGTATCTTGTAGTATGTCAGCTTGAAGATGAATTTCCATGGTTTGTAGGTAATTGAACCTAAACGGAGTTAACGGACAGGTGTTCGTGGGCTGCGTGACCGTTTCTCCCTAAGACGGTGCGTGCTGAAGCCTCTTACACGCACGATCTTTCAGTTCATTCACCCAACCTGCTGCTTATTTTTCTGTGAAACACATTCACTGACCCGAAGACACAAGCTGCGTGAGGCCTCGTGTGGCTGTAGAAAGCTGTGTGCACCCCGAGCCCGCTGCTGCGTCACGCAGTTGATGGTGTGGCCCGCACGCACACCACGAGAGAGGAGTGACGCATGTCGCGGGGACCGTGTGTTCTGGAGTGCTGTGGTTGGCACGGGGGAGGTCCAGACGCCAGGCGCACACGGAGGGCAGACCCTAGAGGCGCCTGGGCTGGCTCGGTCGGTGGAGCACATGACTCTTAATCTCGGGGTTGTGAGTTCGAGCCCCACACGGGGCAGAGAGCTTACTTTAAAAAAAAAAAAAAGTGAAAACAGAAAGCAAGCAAATCCTTTTCCTTTTGTTTCTAGGGAAACTGCCTCGTCACCCCCTGCCCACCCTTGAGGCCCCTTTGGGACAGTTGCAGCCCCACTTTGCAGCCCAGGTAACACTCCTTTATCTAAGAAATGTAGTTTTTTTGTTTGTTTGTTTTGTTTTTTTTTTAATTTGTGATAGTCACACACACAGAGAGAGAGAAGAGAGGCAGAGACACAGGCAGAGGGAGAAGCAGGCTCCATGCACCGGGAGCCCGACGTGGGATTCGATCCCGGGTCTCCAGGATCGCGCCCTGGGTCAAAGGCAGGCGCCAAACTGCTGTGCCACCCAGGGATCCCAGAAATGTAGTTTTAATGACTTTTATTAGTCACGTGAATATTGCATTTCATTACGAAAACGTAAAATCCAGTAAACACAAAGGCCTCCCTCCTATTGCCAGCACCCATAGTTACCAGTAATCTCCATGTGTTCCCTACCACTTTTTTTAAAGATTTTTTTTATTTATTTGAGGGGTTGAGGGAGAGAAAACCTCAGGCAAACTCCTCGCTGAGCACGGGGCCCGACACAGGGCTCAGCCTCCTAACCCTGAGATCACAACCTGAGCCAAAACCAAGAGTCAGACGCTTAACAAACTGAGCCACGTGGGCTCCCCTCCTGCTGTTTTTTTAAATTACATACATACATGGGGCCCCTGGGTGGCTCGGTGGTTGAGCATCTGCCTTTGGCTCAGGTCACGACCTCAGGGTCCTGGGATCGAGTCCTACATCAGGGTCCCCCTGGGAAACCTGCTTCTCCCTCTGCCTGTGTCTCTGACTCTCTCTGTGTCTCCAGTGGATGAATGAATGAATGAATGAATGAATAAATGAAGCTTAAAATTACATCCATAGATAAATACAAATTACATCATGTGTGTTTTACCGTAGCTTTACTCCCCTGGGTGTTATTTTTGAATCTTTACCAATATGATGGGTTAAAAAATTTTATCTTTTAGAAGTTTTCTCGTATCCTTATTGGTATTAAAGTCTGTAATCGGCTATTTATATTTCTTCTTTTGTGGGTTATTTATACATGTGCTTTGCTAATTATTCTACGTGTGTGTGTACTTGCTAGTTTTTAAGAGTTCCTCATATACGAAGGAACTGCTGTTTGTCCATTATGACCTTCTCAGACTTGCCATTTGCCTTTAACCTTTCTTCATTTTTTAAATTTTTTTTTAAATTTTTATTTATTTATGATAGTCACAGAGAGAGAGAGAGGCAGAGACAGGCAGAGGGAGAAGCAGGCTCCATGCAGGGAGCCCGACGCGGGACTTGATCCTGGGTCTCCAGGATCAGGCCCTGGGCTGAAGGCGGCGCTAAACCGCTGAGCCACCTGGGCTGCCCGAATTGATGTTTTTATCATGTGCTAAACATCTAAATTCTTGCTTGTGTCTTTTCCAATGAATTTTTTTTATTTTGAAACATTTTCAGATTTAGATAAAGTTGCAAATATAGCATTACACCTTTCACCTAGATTCACCAGTTGTTAACTGATCACTACATTTACTTTACCATTCTTTCTCTTCCTCCCTCGGCCTTCCCTACATTTTAGATGGATGGATGGATGGATGGTTACATGGGTTCATGATGGATGGTTGGATGGATGGACAGATGGATGATGAATAGATGGATGGATAAATTGATGAGTGATAGGGAGAGAGACACACACACAGTGAGACGGCTTTGCTCCTGGACCAGCTGAGAATAAGTTGCAGGCAGTGAACCGCTTTATGTCTGAAAACAAGGACACCTCCCCACATAATGAAAATCAGGAAGCAACATTAATACGGTCCTAGAATTTAATACATATCCTATACTCAGATTTTGTGAGTCACAAGTCTAGGACCCACGTTGCCTTTCACTTGCACACCTGTGCCTGTGTGTCTGGTTGTGTAGTCATGCATGTACATGCACGTGGGGGTTTGCATGTGTAGGTGTGTTTGTGCACATGTGCAGTGTGCACACATGTGCGCGTGTACGAGGAGGTAGATGCATGTGTGATGGGTCTTCTGACCCTGTTTGTCCTTCATGATGCTGACCTTTGGGAAGAGCCAGGCCAGTGTTTGAGAGACCGCGGGGTGGCATCTCGGCATTGCTAGACTCGGACCTGTATTTATTTTCTACACAGCTCCAGTGAAGGGTCCTCTCCCCAGCTGGTGCCGACCTGCTTTAAATATCATACCTTTGCGGGGCACCTGGGTGGCAGGCAGTTAGGCAGCTGACTCATCTGCGAGTCATGGGATTGAGCAGGGAGTCTGCATGGGACTCCCTCTCGTTCTCTGTTCCTCCCCCTGCTCACACACACGCTCTATCTCTCTCTCTCAAATAAATAAAATCTTTTTTCTAAAACCCATACCTTTGTAATATCTTTAATTTATTACAAATGCATACAACAAGGTTTCTATTGTTAGAAAATCCTCACAAAGCTTTCTTAGCCATTTGTCCCATTTGATCTTTACTGGGTGGATATTTTAATTTGTGTATTTTTATTATAAATATTTTTGGACTTCTAGGAAGATACAAAGACTGATATGAAGTAAACCATCCAACTTAATAAACAAAATAGTATAAAGTCAAGACCCCATTGCGTGTTCTACCCCGATACCTCCCTTCAGGCTCTCCTGACTCTGGTGTTTCTCTTAGCAGATATTTTAAAGTCTGTATAAATCACATCGGTTGTGTATGTATCTTTCTGCACAGCACTTTTATTCCACGTTATATTTCTGAGCTGTGTCGATGCGGATGCAGCTCTTCCATAGAGGGCTGGGGGGTCACTGCGTAGGACCACACCTCTGAGGACTTCATGTTCTCTACGGCAACGTAGCTCCGCAAGTGGCCTGGAGGCGCCACAGGTGACGGGTGAGCAGACGGGCCTGGATGTGCTCCAGGAAAACTTATGGGTTTTCCCATAAGTTATGGGAAGTCCTGGAAGTTTCATTTCATAGAACTTCATGCCATGCAACTTTCTTCTTTTGATTTTCTTCAACTAGTTAAAAATGTGAAAACTATTTTTAGCTCGTGGGCTGGACAAAAAAAAGGTGGTCGGCAGGATTTGGCCTGGCAGGTGTGGCTTTCCAAGCCCAGGTCTGGACACCACTTGTGTGCGTTCTCTGCTGTAGAAATAAATCAGCACAGATGGACCTGCTCGGACACACGACGGTCACCCGGAGCCCGTGGCGCACATCACGGCTCGCCCTGCTCCTGTGCGCTCTACGGGTTTGCACACGTGTGTGATGACGTACGTCCACCCTTTTGGGCTGGATAGTTTCCCTGTCCTAAAACTCCTCCCTGCCCTGTGTACCGCCCCCTCCCAGCTCCATCCCTGATTGTCTCACTGTCTCATGTCTGCCTCCCGCCCCCCGAATGTCCCGGAGCTGGAATCGTACACTCTGCAGCCTTTTCCAGATCGGCCTCTTGCTCTTGGTAACGTGCAGTTACGTTTCCTCCACGGCCTCCCATGGTTTGCGGGCTCTCTTCTTATTGCTGGACGGTGTTGCGTTCAGTGACTGTACCGGTTTGTTAATCTCAAGAATCGCTGTTGCAGGCGATCAGGAGCATAGTTGGCTTTTATCAAGTTTTCTTTTCTTTCTTTTTTTTTTAAAAGATTTTATTTATTTATTTATGATAGAGAAAGAGAGAGGCAGAGACACAGGCAGAGGGAGAAGCAGGCTCCATGCAGGGAGCCCGACGCGGGACTCGATCCCGGGACTCCAGGATCACACCCTGGGCCAAAGGCAGGCGCCAAACCGCTGAGCCACCCGGGGATCCCCTTACCGAGTTTTCTATGTAGCGACTCCGCAGAACTGATTGGTGCTAATACGTGTGGCAGCGGTTTTCCTGTATCTCTGGGCTGACAGAGCGCGTCTGAGGCGAGGGCCAGGCTCCCCCTGCACAGTCCTGTCTGGCACTCCTCCCCTGGCCAGGACTCCCATGCAGCGCAGAGAGCAGGGTCACTGGCTCCCATGCCTTCATCCTGATTTATAGAATGCTTTATTGAAAAAAAATTTTTTTTTGGTAAAGATTTTATTTTTTTAAGCAATGTCTACACCCAACGTGGGGCTCAAGCTCACAGCCCCGAGATCAAGAGTCACACGTTCCACTGACTGAGGCAGCCGGGTGCCCTAAATGCTTTATGCATTTATGTCCAGGTAGATGGTTTGCTGTAAGTCAGACGTGGTTGAATATCAGCAGTTCCATGTGGTTCGGCGCTGAATTCTGTCTGCAGGAGCTCAGGCCCGCGGGTGTGCCAGCTGCAGGCGTGTGGGGCCTGGCGCCTGAGCCCCGCGCGGGCTGCGTGTGGCTGCCTTCAGAGTCCCGTTTTTCCCAAGCCTTTCCCCAAGACTAGACGCTTCGCCTGTACCGAGCTGGTGCAAGGGAGCAGGCGCGTGTCAGCGCTGCCTCTGTGCACCTGTGTCTAGGGTTTCACTCAGTGACATTCCGTTTCCTAGAAGGATACGGGGGCTTAAAAAGGCTTACGGCTAATCTTTATCCGCCCATGTTCCGCAGATCGTCTCCCATGTGTGGCTTGCCTTTTCGATTTATTTAAAACAAAAGAAAGCCGGCTGGGAGGTGGACGCCTGCGCCGCCCGGGGTGACGTGAGCCCCTAGAGTGGCGGCCGTGCCGAGGCTCCTCGCCGACCCGGGGCCTGGGTCCAGAGGGGCAGGCGGCCTTTGAGGAGAGGCACCCGATCTGGAGGCCGCTGAAGCCGGGACTCACTATGGGATGGATTTGGGATGTGAGAGGGAAGGAATCCAGGTTCGGAGCCTGGCCGCTGAGTGGGAGGAGGCGAGCGGTGGCCAGGGCCTGGCAATGCCTGAGCTCTCCTGCCACGCACGACCCGGTGGGAGGGGGGCTGTGCTCGGGCTCCACAAGCCCTCCGCGAGGCCAGGGGCTGAGTCACTGGACAGCGGGGACAGCGCCACTGCCCCCACAATGGTCTGCCCGACGGGGGGACACCAGCCTGAGGTACTGGGCAGGGCCAGCCACAGGGAGGGGTGGAGACCTGGGCGTTCTCCAGCAGAGGACCCCTGCCGCGGGGGACCCCTCCCCTGCATGACGCTGTCCCCTGCGAGAGACCTGCTCACCTGCACCCCCACCTCTGGAGGACCCCTTCACCCCTGGCGGGAGATGCACTGACACGCCAGCTCTTGGTAACCGTGAAACCGCCTGCATTGATCAAACTTTTAAACGTGTTATTAGAAGGAAATCTCCCAAATCGCCCACAAACCTGCGCGTTATCGGTTACCCGCCTGGCTCGGCTCCTTCCCTTCCCTGTGCCCCCGTCCTGCAGGTGCCCCCACAGGCGGGCGCGGGGGGTTCAGGCCGCCGGCAAGCTGCCAGGCCCGGTTCAGGCCCGGGGCCTCCTCCCCTGACGCTGACGAGGGGTCCGCGACGCTGAAGGCCGGGCGCTCAGGTGGACGCGGCCACACCCCTCCCCCTGGCTTGTCACCGACGCGCAGGAGTCCCCGATCCCAGAAACACGGGGACAGCGTTTCCCCGATGTTGAGGGAGACCTCGGCAACACGCCCCAGCAGCGACCCCGACGCTGAAATCCTCTTGCTCGCATTCCCACGCAGGACCCGGAGCACCGCAGGGAAGAACGTGTCCCTGCCCGCCCTGGAGACGTCCAGCCCGGCGCGGCCCAGACCGTCGGCAGCAGCCCTCCTCCGCCAGGCTGCGCAGCGGGGGCCGCGGGGCCCGGGCAGGTACGGCAGGCCGGTCTCGGCGCAGGGACCCGCCCCGGGGAGCGGTGCGCCGGTGTCCTGGCAGGTGGCCATCACCGTGAGTGACGGACCAGACGCCGCTCAGGGTGGCAGGACCTGCTGGTCCCTTTGGCGAGTGGGTCCCCTGGGGCGCTGAGCACGGGGCCGGCTCCTGACCACAGAGGTGCACCCGCAGAGGGCTCGGCGGGGCCTTGGCTCAGCCGGACAGGCGTCGGTCCTTCCAGGTCCCACCTCCCATGGAGACCACGCTGCCCTTGCCCGACAAGGCAGCTCTGTCCTTCCAGCGTCCGTAGGAGCGCCGGCTGGCGGTGCGCTGGCCAGCCTGTCCCCAGAGCCCCACCCTACAGCCTGCCTTTGGCCAGGCCCGCCCTCTGGTCGCCTACTGGGGGCTAGGAGAGCGCGGTTCTCAGGGCTGACTGTGTCCTTTCTTTACATTCGTAGCGACAACACAGGTCAACTCGACAGAAAGAAAACCGGTCCCCAAGGCCATGCCTGGCTCCCGGACCCCACAAGGAGAGTGGCCACCACACCCGAAGCTCCTCATCACCAGCTAGCAGTCCCCTCCAGGACACGTGGAAGCTGCTGGACCTGGGGTCCAGCCCCTCCGGCCTCACCTCCCAGGACGACTCTGTGCCAGGTAGGCTGAGGCCCGGGCTCCCGGCCCCCAACAGGGCAGAGACGGTGCTGGCGACTGCCTTACTTCAGGGAGGCCCGGCCCCGGGAGGACCCCGACATGCGTCCGGAAGATTGTCTCCAAAGTGCAGAAAGCACTTCCGGGTTTATGGGACGACCGTGTGGGACAAAGGTCATTAGGTGCATGCGGGTGGGCACTGAAGGTCAGGTCGGGGGTCCTGGCTCAGGGCAGTCCTTCAAGCTGGAGGGGAGTTTGGGTTCCCGTCCGCGACCCTGCTCGGCCAGAGGCAACAGGGAAGCCGGCAGGAAGAACTTAGTGACAAACTAGAGCCAGGGGTCAGAATGGAGGGGAGACAGTGTGTCTCTGGCCTCTGCTGGCAGGGCTGGGGGACGGCAAGGCGGCCACGGTGGCCACGGCCAGGCTGACATGCAGGCGCACATGCTGCGCCCTTCCCACCTGGGTGGGCTCCCGCGCTGAGGCCCGGTGCCGTGCGGTCGCGCTCCGTCACGTGCACGTGAACCGACGTGACCGTGTCCTGCGGCGGACATTATAGGTCATTTCCAACCTTTGTCCCACACGTCATGTTACAGTGAACGGCCTTGTACACACTCTCTCCAGGGTGTGTGTAAATTCGAGGGGCGGAGCGTTGCTTTGTCAGAAAGCAGATGCATTTCTCATCGGGGAGATGTCCAGCTGCTCTGTGTGGACACCAGCAGTTCCTGGGCACACGAGGGTGCAGGGGTGCAGGGTGCATGGGGGGAATGTGGGGGGGTGCGCAGGACGGGGGTGGGGGGTGTGCGCAGGGGAGGTGGGGGTGTGGGGTGGTATGCGGGGGGGAGCGCAGGGGTGTGCATGGGGGGAGTTGGGGGTGTGTGTTCAGGGATGTGCGTGGGGGGAGTGGGGGGTGTGCAGGGATGTGAGGGGAGTGGGGGGTGCGTGCGGGGGTATGTGCAGGAGGGGGGTGGGGGTGTGCACAGGGGAGGTGGGGGGGTTGGAGAGGTGCATGGGTTGGAGGTGCGGGTGTGCAGGACCCGTCGCACTGGCAGTGGTGGCCTCGGTCTTCCTGTCTCCAGTTCTCACCCCTTTGCACGCGGGGTTTGCTCCCTTTGTCTCACTGATGTGTGGGAGCTCATCTTTATGGTGGAAATCTGGCTTTTTCTGAGACAGAATTACAGATCTCAGCCCCCCTCAGTGTCTCATCTGGTTTTGACTTTGCTTACACTGGTCTTTGTCACACACGTATTTTTCATCTTTATGCTCCTGAGTCACTGAGCGTGTTGTTAATCCTCCCTGGATTTTGTGCCATATGTAGGCCTGTTCCACCCCAAGGTGAGACAGGTTTCTTTCACGGTTTCTTCTAACGTCATGGCTTCATGTTTTTGTGTTTAAAGCCACGATCACTGGGAATTCATCACGGTATATGTTATAAAATAGGGGCCAAACCTTTTTTTTCTGGTGGCCCGGGTGGCCACACAGCCGTCCCAGCCGCCGCGACTGAGTGACCGCGGCCCCGCTTTGCTCTGCCCGCAGAGCTGGTCCCCGGGCTCCTCCGGGGGCGGTGCCTGGGGCAGTGGGCCTGGCGCCACCCGGTTGTCCCGGCTTCCCGCGGCCGTGGCAGCTCCGCAGCCCTCCCCCCGCGGCGCCTCTGCTTTCCCGGCTGAGGCCGTTTCCGCCTTCCCGCGCGCTCCTGTTGGGGGGCGGCCTCCGTGGGAAGGCCGGCGCCGTGCCCTGCGCCCCACTCGCGCCCCCGGAGCCTGCCGGGCCCCCGCCCGCCCCGTCTTAGTTTGTATTTTCTGCTCCGCGTGCCCTAAACAGTTTTCCTTTCCCCCTGCCCTTCGCTGGGAAGGTCGCATTTGCCATCTCCTGCCGCTTCCTCCGCTGCCCTTAGGCTTCTCGCGGCTAGTCCCCACCTTGTAACGTCGTCGTCGTCTTCAAGTGTGAGGCCGGCGGGGTTGGACCCGACGGCCAGGAAGGAATTCTCGAGACGTCCTCGGGGCAAAATGGTGGGTTTATTAAAGCAGGACGACAGGTGAGCTGCGGCCCTGGAGTGTGAGGAGCAACTGATTACACAGTAGGGTCGGGGAGACTGGCCATACGGGACGTTCCAAAGGGACCTTCGTGCGCTGAAGACTCGCGGGACCCTGGAGGCCCGGCTGCGGCCGAACCAAGACTGTGCGTCCCTCCAGCGAGGCGGTGACGGGAGGACAGTCGGAGCCTCCTGGAGGAACGTTTCATTCTGCCTCCCCCAGTGTTTCTCAATAGGCTGCAGGCTATACGGACATTTAAATTTTTTTTAAGATTTTATTTATTCATTCGTGAGAGACACACACAGAGAGAGGCAGAGACACAGGCAGAGGGAGAAGCAGGCTCCACGCGGGGAGCCCGATGTGGGACTCGATCCCGGGTCTCCAGGATCAGGCCCTGGGCTGAAGGCGGAGCTAAACCACTGAGCCCCCCGGGCTGCCCGCGGACATTTAATTTTACCTACATCTCCCTCTGCCTTTGTTTCCCGCGTCAGTCCCTCCCGGAACGATTTGGACCCCTCGATCTCTAAGGTTGCTGAGGGTGGAAGGCCTCGAGGTCTGTAACCTCCTCCTGCTGAGTAGGGGCCTGGAGGTGTCCCTGCCCGCGGGTTGGCACCCGTCGGTCGGGGAATTTATGTATCGAGTCACTGAAGGCAGAGGCAGCTACCCCAAGGTAGGAGACGTGTGGAGCCTCCCTGAGTAGGAAGGGTCGTCTCTCAACTAGAGGTGCGGTAGCACCTGAAGGAGTCTGGGCACCGGGCAGGGAGACACCATAAAGACGACAATTTGGAGTTAAACCCCCTGCTATAGGAGCCCCCCTTCCTTTATGTTTTTTTTAAGATTTTATTTATTTGAGAAAGAGAGTGAGTGAGAAAGAGAGCATGAGCGGGGGGTGGGGGGGTGCGGGGGGCAGAGGGAGAAGCGGACCCCCCCCCCCGAGCAAGGAGCCCGATGTGGGACTCGGTCCCAGGACGACCCCGGGATCATGACCTGAGCCGAAGGCAGACACTTCACCCACAGAGCCACCAGGCACCCAACTCCCAATCCTTTAAATCATGTCTGCGGGGTTTATATGGGGTGGGTTGCTAGTGTCTGTCAAATCAGGTTTCGGGAGGATATGGTTTGCATATTCATTTAGAGATTTATGAATCAACCTGGCCTCGAGTAAATAACTTAATAGAGCATTATAGTCTCCGTCGATTGATAGGTCTACAGGAGAAAAGGTTTGCCACATAGTAACTCCAAAGGGACAATAACCAATAACTCTGTTGAATGCGTTGGGGCAACTCTCACCCAAAGAACCCCTTATCGGTAAAAGAATAATCCAGTTTTCTTGAGTCTCAATGCTTAGAATCTAGTATCTACAAAGACGTGTTACTGAAACGTTTTCTCTCTACCGTAGCCCTCACCTGTATACAGAGGTAGCCAAATCGGGACCTAGTCATTTGTAAAACGAGTCGAGTTTTAACAAAACGTGGCCTAATGATTTATATAAGCTCAGGAGGAACAGAGATTGATCATTTAGATCTTTCAGAATCCACTTAGCTGGAAATTTTTATAAGGAATCTCTAGGTTGAACTTCAGGTAGCCTCTCCAGGCCAGAAGCCAAGTCGAGCACTTGCCAGACATGCCTGTAATGCCTGTAGATTTGGGCGTATTCCTCTTCTCAAGGTCCCCAGGGTATCCTGAGGCTCCTGCACCTGCCAGGAACTGACATTCTTTACTCCCTGGTGAGGCCGTTGGGAGCTCCGGCCCAGGTATCCGGCCAACATCTCCAAGGGGCTTTACGGCTCCGGGTTTCAGAAAATCAGCCTTCGTTCCTTCAAGCTGCTTAGTCACATCTGAGTCTATGCCTGTCTCTCAAAGATGACGCTCGGCCAAAGCCTTGGTAAAATAACCGATGTTTCCAGTGGTGTCCTCTTACAAGAACAGGTTCTTATTGAGCGTATGCAAATGACCATGGTCGCCACGGAGGAAAGGACACTGACCAGGACCTTTTGGATTTCAGAGGGTTCAGGTAGAAAAGTTAAAGGCTTCAGTTTGCTGGCAGAGGAATACTTTATTATTCCCATATGTCGCTGATGTCCTAAGACAAAGTTTCCTCAGGCTGGAAGAGCAAAGAGCAAATATTAGAGAACTGGCAATGTTTCAAACAAGAGTCATAAACTGTAATCGTTCTCAGTTTAGTTAGTTCTGGAAATTCTTACTAATTTCAGTTTTGTGATCCTAAAGATACTGAATACCTGAATTTGTCCTAACAGTCCTTTGTATGAATCCTCTCGAAGACCAGACCCATTTTTCAAGAGAATAAGAACAGTAACTATAAATGAAAAACTCAAAAATGGCTGTGGCTAAAGATCTGTTGAGAGGTCACAACGTAGCTGGCAGGGAAATCTGGTTATTTCTGCCACACAGCACTTCAGTAATCAGAATGTCAAGTGATGGCCTTATACCAAGTGATGGCCGAAGACTTTAGGAACTGCATATCCTCTCTGCAGTATTACAGCATTTACCCAAGCAATAGAACCTAAGGCTTATTATTTAACAGTTCTTCCAGAGGAACTTAACATGCCAAATAAAAAGACTCAATGAGTCAAAAGAGTCTTGGAAAATTTGTTAAGACCTTAGGAAGTTTTAAACAGCGAGAGAAAGAGAAAACACGGAGAGGCAGAGGGACAAGCAGACGCTCGCTGAGCAGGGAGCCCGACGCGGTGCGGAGTCCCGGGACCTGGAGCAGGACCTGAGCTCGAGGCAGGCGCCCAATCACTGAGGCCCCTAGGCGCCTCTGGATCTGTTTAAAAGTCCGTTTGTTCCCCATTGTCAGCTTTTACCTGGGGCACTGGTGGAGAAACCTGGAGCGGGCGGTGTTAAGTCCAGGATGTGCTCTTGGCTCCTCGAGAGGAGGGTGGGAGAACCGAGGGTGGTCTAGAAGCCAGTGTGCAGGCCGCCCCAGGATGGCGCAGCGCAGGGCAGGAGGAGGGGGCGGGAAGGCAGGAGAGAGGGCCCCGGTTCTAGAGCTCAGCAGACCCGACGGAGGAGCACACACCATGTTTTCCCGCCAACAAGGGGGAGTAGACAGTCCGTGGCCAGAGAAGAGAAGAATTTCCCCCAAAGGGACTTTCGGCAGCTGCTTGGGAAGATTAGTTAAGGTCCCTGCCCTGAGGTAGCCTAACCCAAGGCCATGGTTCCAGTTACAGCTGTTAACCTGGGACAGGAGTGAGGGAGCTGCCCCCGGCACAGCCAGAGGGACCCTGTGGAGCCCCCTTGGGTAGGGAGGCCCGCGTTCCCCCGGTAACCTGGGTTTTTCCGAGGAGGCCTATCTAGATAATCATCAGCACGAGGGAGTTTACTGGTCTAGTTAGGACCAAACATGTTCTACTAGAGGCCCTTAGGTCCAGGTCCCAATTCAGAGCCCTGAAGGCCTGGGATGGACCTGGTAGGGCCGTCTGTTTGCCCTGTTTCCTGCAGGAGAGATCTAGCTGATAGATCCTACTGAGCCCGGGCAGGACCTTTCTTACGTTCTGTAATCTGAATGGTTTCCCTTGGGTCAAAAAAGCACCGCAAGGGAGTCTTTGGGGACTGAAGAGACAAGGGCCGTTACCAAAAAAATCTCCCCAACTCCCGGTGGCGTCCCCCGGACGCAACCGCCACGATCAGGGCCCGTAACGGCCCCTGTAGGAGGGCGGCCTGCCCGCCCCGCGCTGCCCACCACATTCTAGGTGACGCTGCGGCGTATGGGCCCCAGTGTGCCTGCCTTCAGGGCCCCTTGGGACCCTCCGTTTTTAGCCCCTGGAGAATACCAGACAAGTCTTACAGCAAAGTGCCCAACTTTGTACCGTAGGCAGCAGAGGACGTTGACAGAAGCCAGTGAAGACAAATCCGCCGTGGTGTGGGCGACAGCCCAACACGTGCGTCCTTACCGCCAACTTCCCTCGGACACGGTCCCCAGTTGGATCTGATTCCATCGGGTACTGGTTTTGGCCGGCTCCCAGTGGAGGTCCCTCGGCCGGACCAGCGTGGGGGGGTCACGGTGGACCAATGAGGAGGGAACCTCACGCAGAAGCCTGAGATCGGCAGCCGTCCTGGTGACTCGGGTGGCTGTCCCGTGCCCAAGACAGACAACCTCGAGGAAGGACAGGATACAGAGAGCGCACCGGGTTCCTGGGTCTTACTACCATCCCGCCCAGGGGACTGCGTAGCCACGGGCAGAGGATCGCGGCCTGAGCTGTCGGCAGGGACGTGTCCCAGGAAGACTGCGCCCCTTGAAGGGCCCCGGGAAGGAGCGTGAAGGAGGAGGAAGTCCTCACCCAGTGTGCACCGCGGCCCACGGTCCAGGCGAGAAGACTCAGGGCCCCACGCTGAGAAGAGCCTGCCGGCCCCTCGGCCTGTGTCTCTGTCTCTGTGTCTCTCATGAATAAACGAACAAAATCTTTGAAAAGAAAAAAAAAAAACAAATGCCACCGTCATGCTTGAAGGCACATCCTGGAAGCACATGTCAAGAAGGTAAAGAATTCCTCTTTTAAAAAATTGTATTTATTTATTCATGAGAGACACAGAGAGAGGCAGAGACGCAGGCAGAGGGAGAAGCAGGCTCCATGCAGGGAGCCCCATGCGGTCCCAGGACCCCGGGGTCATGCCCTGAGCCGGAGGCAGACGCTCCACCACTGAGCCACTTGGGCGCCCTACAAAAATCCTGCAAAGGAAGAGCCCTGGCTGCTGACTGATCACCACCGTCAGCTCTGGCCCGAAGGCCTCTGTCAAACTGCGTGAACTTGACACTGGGTGTCACAGCCTCACGGTGTTTAGAAAGCAAGTGACAAAAAGTCAAGACCCACCCAGGGTGGGGATGTGACAGGTGATGCTGCCCAGACAGCAGGGACGGGGAGGGTCCGTTGGTGGGAAGGCGAGCGGCCGGGGCTCCGCCTGCCTCTGCCCCCGGGGACAGGGCCCTCGCCCTCACGCAGCCCGCAGGACCTTTAGCGCCAGGAGCGAGTTCTGCGTGGCCGGAGGACCTTAGTTCTCCACGACTCTGACCTGCTCGGGCCCCAAGGACAGGCGGTGGCCAAGACGGGCCATAAAGATGCCCAGAAACCCGATTCCCGCTGAGCGTGGCGCGGGGCATGGGGCGGAGGACGCAGGAGAGCGGGATGGGGTAGCTGAGCTCCCTGGGTTCGGGGAAACGAGAGAGGACGTTTGGGACGCCAAGAGCCACGAGGGAAGACCAGACAGACTTAAGAGCAAAGGAGTCTACGGAACGAAAGATGTGATCGTCCAAAGTCAAAGCTTGGGCTTGACAGCAGATTCTGTGCTGCCTCAGCGACGCGGCCCTGACAGGAGGGTCACCAGAAGCAGAGACGTGGCCGGGGACGCAGGGGCCGTGGAGGGCGGGGGCAGGGCCAGAGCCGCGGCAGGACAGGGTCCCCCAAAGGCGCCCCTCGGCCCGGGAAGCCTCGCGCACCCCCGTGTGCAGACGTCGGCGACGCGCTGGCATGTGTACAGCACTCAGGTCGCCCTTGGCCGGACGCTGCCACCTGCCGAGAGCTGAGGCCTGGTCCGACGGCGGCCTCCTGTCAGCCACAGCAGGGGCGGAGGCCCAGGGCCCCACAGAGTCTCTGCGGGCACCAAGAACTGAGCAACTTTGCCACCGCCTGTCCCTCCTTTTAAGACATAAATCCAGTCAGGGTTGGCGCACGTTTCTGTAAAGGGCCAAACAGTAAGTGTCCTCGGCCTTGCGGCCCCACGGCGTCTCTCACCACTGCGCAGTTCTCGGCCTGAAACAGCCGCAGACCAGCCGTTCACGAGGGGTGGGGCCCCCTGCCAATAAAACTTTATTTAGAAAAACAGGTGGTAGCAATGCTGTTTCTTTCTTTTTTTTTTTTTCTTAAGATTTCATTTATTTATTCATGAGAGACACAGAGAGGCAGAGACACGGGCAGAGGGAGAAGCAGGCTCCATGCAGGGAGCCCGACGTGGGACTCGATCCCAGCACCCCGGGGTCACGCCCTGAGCCGGAGGCAGTCGCTCAGCCCCTGAGCCACCCAGGCGTCCCAGCAACGTTGCTGCTTAAGCTGAATGCACAGGTGTTTGTTTTATTCTTATTTATTTATTTATTTTTCAAGTAACCCACACTCACAAGCCCCAGATGAAGCGTCGCGCGCTCCAGCAGAGGGCCAGCCAGGTGCCCCCGTGTCTATTCTGTAAGTCACCTTACTTCTATCCTTTAAACTGTGCGTGTAGGTGTGTCGGTGAAGCCTGGGAATCCCCTGTGATGAACGTCCTAGCAAAGAGTGGTCCCCGGGGCGTGTGGCAGGGAGGGAGGGACGGTGCCCGTGGCGCGGTGGTCCGGGTGCGCAGGTGGCCCGTGGCCACCGGAGCAGCTGGAGGGCAGAAGGGGCGGACAGCCGCAGGTGCCGTGCTGTGGGGGGGGGGGTGCTCCAGGGGCCACGGGCGGGGGGGCGCCTGTGTGGGAGGAGGGGGGTGAGGCAACCTGCTCCTGTGTCCCCAGCGCCGCCCCCCTTGGCAAGGTGCGAGGCCGGGCACGGACGGGCGAGTGCATGCGGGCAGTGGGCTGCGACGGCAGGGGTGTGGGTGACCGCCGCCAGGTGTCCGGGGGACGGCCGGGGCAGCGGGCTGCCATCAGTCTCCGTTGCTGCCCGCTCCCTGGTGCAACCTGGGCCTCGGCAGCACGGAGGAGGCCGGGGAGGCCCGCAGCAGCCAGTTGGGAAACAGTCGTCAGACGGGTCGGGAAGCCCGTGGGATGGGACGGTCACGCCGCGCCAGGCCCGCAGCGAGTGGGCGGCCAGGTGCCTACCGTGGGCGCGGCCGAGCCCGCCCTGCGTGGGGGGCCATGGCGGCGGGCCCCACGCAGCACAGGTCACAGGCCAGCCCGGGGAAGTGACCGAGCGTGCCTGACCCCCTCCCCGTGCCGGGGGCCTTTGGTGACCGTCCTGCCACCCGGTGCACCCGGCACGGCTGCGGGGCGACACGCTGGCCCGACGTCGGCGTCCATGAGCTCCCTGTCAGGGCCCGGGCGGAGGGGCCTGAACCCTGCGCCTCCTCCGGCCCAAGCCTCGCACCCGGGAAGGGCGTGCGTGTCTGGGTTCTGCCAGCGGCGGGCAGGGCGTCACCCATGCGCTCAGGCGCCGCGCGGGGAGGCCGGGAGGTCGGGGCGGACGGCGCCCTGTGCTGACGCAGGAGGACGGAACATCCCGTGTGGCTTTTGGTTCACCCTGTGATTCATGGGGGCGAGAGGAGGAGGTGGGGGCGAACGCGACTCAGGCGTTCTCGTGTCCACACACCTCTGCTCCCCTCGTAGCCGGGCGCTCAGGACTGAATACCTGTATGACACTCACTTTGTGTACGAATATCTTTTAGTTCAAGATCTTCTTTATTCCTGAGAGACACACAGGCAGAGGCACGGGCAGAGGGAGGAGCAGGCTCCTGCAGGAGCCCGAGTGGGACTCGATCCCGGGACCTGGGGTCACGCCCTGGGCCGAAGGCACACGCCCCGCTGCTGAGCCCCGGCGGCGCCCTGTGAAGGAACCTTTTTAAGCCTCACTAGTATCTTCAGAGCTACTGTCAGGAAGCAGGAGCTCGAGACGCGAGTGTGGGATCCTAAGCATTTACGGCAAAGCACAATGTGGGGCATTGGTCCCCAGACAAGCAGTCTGGAAGCTCCCTTCTAGAAACTGGGATGAAGGGTCTCCTGCGTTTGCCCATCTTCGGTGCGTTGTCAGTAGGGATCGTGGACGCTCAAAAATGGTAAGGAAATCGTTGAACGTGGACGTCTGTGATCAAACACGGAGAACCACTTTTCTTAGACGGTGTTTCTCATGATGGCACGCGGTGCTCGTGCTCCCTGGTTTCGAGGTGGGACCGGAGCCACCTCATCCTGCCCCCAGCAGGCCCGGTCGCACCCCCACCCCCGGGCCTGCTCCGCTGCCGGGTGACCTGGTGCACGAAGGGGCTTTAGGGTCCCAGTGGCCCCTGCTCCATCCTGTCCGAGGCCTTGGGCCCCTCCACTCCCAGCCGCCTTCTGTCCAGGCCCGTCCCCTGACCCCAGCCCTCTGTCCCCTCTCCCCCGCAGTGCCCTGGGGCTGTGACCTGCTGCCCCCCAGCCCCCTGCAGCCTGCCACTGCAGACACCTCCGCCCCACCCCTTTCCCAGCACCTGCCTCCACCTCAGGCCCCTTCCTTCCCGCTAAGCTCTCGCATTCCTGGGGGCTGGGGTGGGGCACCGTCCTTGACCCTGCCCCGCCCCTGGTCAGCACAAGCAGGTATACAATAGGTGCTCAATCTCATCAAGCCGGGAGATACTGGAAGGATGAAGCCAGGGAGGCCCTGAGTCTGCAGCTGTGGGGGTTGGGGATCGAGATTCCCGGGAGGAGGTGGGATTGGAGCGGCACTGCCGGGGAGGTGTCGCGTGCTCTCAAGCTGTTGCCCCGCGTGGGCCGCGTGGGCCGTGGGGACATGGGCAGTTTCCTGGAAGCTACGTGAGGGGGTTTCGGGGCTCGAGCAGCAGGCCTGCGGAGAGGTAGTTCACCGCGAGACCCGACCCTCGGAGGGGTGCGGGGTGTCGCGGGTGGGGGCGAGTGGGGGCGGCACGGACCCCCCCAGTGGGGGCAGCTGCCCGCTGAGGTGCCCCCAGGCAGTCACATGGCTTAAAATCCAACCTAAAAATACACAGAATCATGGATCCCTGGGTGGCGCAGCGGTTTGGCGCCTGCCTTTGGCCCAGGGCGCGATCCTGGAGACCCGGGATCGAATCCCACGTCGGGCTCCCGGTGCATGGAGCCTGCTTCTCCCTCTGCCTGTGTCTCTGCCTCTCTCTCTCTCTGTGACTATCATGAATAAATAAAAATTAAAAAAAAAATGTTTAAAAAAATAAAAAATAAAATAAAATAAAAAATCACAACTACAGGGGATCCCTGGGGGGCTCAGTGGTTGAGCGTCTGCCTTCAGCTCAGGGCGTGACCCCGGGGTCCCGGGATCGAGTCCCACATCAGGCTCCCGGCATGGAGCCTGCTTCTCCCTCTGCCTGCGTCTCTGCCTCTCTCTGTGTCTCTCAGGAATAAATAAATCTAAATTTTTAAAAAGTCACAACTATCTACAATGATTCTTTTTTAACTACAACATTAATCCAATTGGAAGGATTTTCTCAGGATGACACATGAATAAGTCACCAGGCTGGCGGGGACACGCGCTCAGCCAGGACAGCACCCGAAGATCACAGCGTCGGCCCCTCCGGCAAGCAGCAGCTGCCCTGGGAAGCCGGACCCAGCAGGCGAGGCCGGGGCGCCGGCGCTTCTGGGAGTGCGGTTTGCCGGGGTGACCGGGCAGGGCCGGTTAGAGCCGTCGGCCCCCCAGGGGTCCCCGCACGCGCGCTCAGGGTGCGGGATGCCCACTGGGGCTAAGGGGGCGCAGACCTCAGTGACCTGTGCCCTGCACCACGAATGGTGCCCAAGGTTTTGGTGAAAAGTCAGTCCACTCCTCCCGCCCCCCGCCGTCCCCACCCCCCTGTCCCGCCTCCGTCCCCCAGGCCACCACCGCCTGTCCCTGCTCCTCTTCCACGTGCCCTGCGCTCTGTGGCCATAGAGGCGAATACGTAGGGTGTGCATCACGCCAGTAGGCCGCTTGCTTTTTCATTCCCACCTGGGCCTCCCGCTCGGTACCCCCGGGAGGTCGGTGATCCGACTCGTGACGACGGTCTTTACCTGAAACACTTCGTGTTCATTGATGTTTAAATGGCCTGTGGTCTTAGCTCCCAGACTGTGCTGCAGCGAGCCATCCCGTGTTCATGCGGGGCTGTGGGAGTCTGTTGTCAGAATAATCCAGAAGTGAAATCGCTGGGTCAAAGGTATGAGTGGTTTGACTTCTGCACGGTGTTTCCAAATCGCCCTGGAGAAGTTGGCCCAACTTGTGCTCGTGGCCGCGGGCTGTGACAGTGTCTTTCCTAACTCCCATACCGGTACTGGTGGAGTTTCTTTCCTTAAGATTTCATTTATTTGAGAGAGAGAGAATCTCAAGCAGACTCTGAGGAGGAAGCCCCACGTGGGGCTTGATCCCATGCATGAGCCTGAGCCGAAACGAAGAGTCGGCCGCCTGACTGACGGTGCCACCCAGGTGCCCCCAGTACTGGTGGATTTTTATCGAGCGTTTTCCTTTATGCCAATCTTGATAGACGAAAAACATATTTCATGATTGGTTTTAATTTGCAGTTTCTAAACTCCAAGTGAGGCTGGCCACCTTCCGTGTGCTCTGATCATCGTCAGGCCTCACAGCCTGTATAGGGGCGACTAGGAAAGGTCGCGGAGTAAGGACGGGCACGTCGTGATTTGCAGGAGTCAGAACACAGCGGGGCTGGGGGGCTGTGCCCCTGGGGCGGGGGGCTGCCGTGAGCGCTGCCGCCTGTGCCCTGCCATCACTGCTGTACCCCGAGAGCACTAACCCATCTGCACAGATACTGGAGTCCCATTTTCGAGTAAGGAAACTGAGGCTGGGGGCACGGAGTGCCCGCCTGAGGTCCGTCCCAGGTCCCAGCCCTCCGTGTACCACAGGGTTCCAGACGGGGCACACAGTCAGGGGGAGCCACGACGGTCCTGGAGCTCACACAGACATTGGCTGGGAGCTCCCGGCACGTGGAACCGCGGGGTCACGCTCCTCTGGAACAGGAGGTCAGTCTGTCCCGGAGACCTCGCCCACCCGAGGCCCATCCTGTTGTGAGTGGTGGCGGCGGCTCAGGGGCATCCCGGGTGCTCCCCTGGCGGAGACCCTCACCCTCCCTGCCCTGGTGCCCCCAAGGGGAGCCCTCGGGGGATCAAAATGATGAGGGACAGAGGGGTGATGGCAACTTTTAAAGGGTGCGATGTGGGTGTTAATTTTTTTCTTTAAATTTTTGGGGTTTTTTGAAAATTACATTACATTACATTGAATTACATTGAATTAAATTCAATGTTCTTGAAATTAAACATTTTTCTCTTTAAAAGGGGTTGCATAAAATGTTGAAAAAAGGGTACGCACAATGCTATTAACTGGCTACTAACCCAAAATTAGTTTTAAATCCCGTGTAGTCAGAATATTTCCATACAGACCTCTCTACAGAGCTGACACCTAAATCAGATAACCACGTTGCCAGGCCTTTCTTATCCAACGATCCAGATAAAAACAAAACCAGCCGCCTCTTGCTCACAGCCCAAATGCTTGCGGAGCCCCCACCAGCACCACAGAGGCCTGGTGTGCGCCCGCCACAGCGGGTCCCTTTCTCAGCAGTTCCCAGAGCCGGGAGGTCGGGGCTCTGCGTTCCCCTGGAGAGACGCGGGCCCAGAGCGCTCCCATGAGGTCTCACAGCTCCCAGACAGTGGAGCAGGACCGGAGTCCAAGCAGACCCTGAGCTCACTGGCTGAGATCAGCCCCAGACGCCAGTGCCCCTGGGCACCAGGCAGCAGGTGGCTGGGTGAAGGCGCGCAGGGGCTGTGCTAACTGCCAGGCGGCACTGTGCGTGGGGTTGGTGACGTCTGGCAGGCTGGCTCCGTCTAGCGGATGACGCCATCCTACAGGTGCCCCTCGATGGCAGATGGTCCAACGAGCCAGAGCTTCCCATTTTTCAAGAGAAGCTGGAAATCCTGGGGTTTTTTTATATAGAATGTTTTCATTTTTGAATATCGGCAGCTAATTAAAAAATCAAAACAAAGTGTGGGCCAAATTACAGCTCAGTTTGTTAGCTACACACTTCTGTGAGCCAGACCCAGCCATGCCTAGTGACGAGGCTCCAGCCAGGAGCTATGTTTAGGATTTTACATGGTTGAGAAAAGGACAAAGAAAGTGCTACAATGACCTGGATCAGCCCAGTGGGCTCCAGAGAGAGGCCCAGCCTCTGGCAAGGCCCCTTCCCAGCCTGGGAATCAGGTGACTGCTGATAAACCTGCGCTTCTCTTTACCAGCGACTCAACCGTGTGTTTCTCTGCATGTTCCTGCAGGGCAGACACACCAGGCCCTCCTGGGTTTGTCCTCGTGTCCGTCCTGCAGGGCCTCACCTGCCCGTGACGAGGGCCGAGTGGGCCCCCAGGACGCCATCTCACCTGTCCCCTTCTTGGTGTCTTGTGCTCTTGCGTGGAGACTGCCCCCTGTGCCTTCCCTGGACTCAGATTGCCTCTGCTCTGGCTCTGCCAGCCCAGCCATGGTCTGAGGTCATAAAAACACACTGTGAACGTGGGACCTTAGACTTACTTTGTCCACACGCCCTCAAGACCAAAAATATTGCCATCTGGCTGCCCCACAGATGCTTTACTGTTTCTCGTGAAACCCAGGGGTTGAGCATGGGAGGCAGGCTGATGACCCAGCACTGTTTCCGAGTGATAGTCATTCATGATAAGGATCTATGATAAGTAAGAAAAGGTTAAAATCACACAGGATAGGTGACCTCAAAGAACTGCTAGTGACTCCATTGTAAATGCACCTGGAACAGTACATTCTGTTCTTCCTGCGTGGTCCTCATACCTGTGCACTAACCAGGGAACTCCCCTAAGGCCTGAGAACCTTATCAGAATGTGAGCGTCAGTGAGAGACAGACAGACCTAGGAGAGCCTTGTGAGACCCGGCTGAGAGACCAGCAGCCTAAGCCACAGGGAAGGAGGCCAGCTGGAGCCCGGGAGGGCTGTCCTCTGCACCAGAAACGTGTCGTGATGCAATCCCCAGGCAGGGCCCATTGGCTGGGCTCTGGCAACACGAGCTGCGAACAGGGTGGAGTGCCTCCCACTGGAGGGCTCAACACATCTTCTCATTGGCCACTGTCACAGGTAGACTGCACGAGGCAGACAGGAGCAGGAGTTGTCCATGGGAACTAGGGAGCTTATTCAGCACTGTGACTATTAGGGTACAGGACCCCAGGGGGCAAGGGGCCCTGCCCTCTTACTGCTCAGCACCCTTGATCCTCTTGGCTCTGCCTGCCCCACTCTCAGAAGGGATCAGATGTGAGTGCCAACACACCGCTGAAATTGTACACGATGTGTGCCGCCTCTCAGCACTGTTACAATAATAACTAAAGAAATCCCAGAACCAGTGTTTTGGTCAGAGGAAGGAGCAGTGCTGTGTCCTGAACTGAGTGACCAACACCAGCTTCCTGCTTGTGCTAATGATTACAACATGAGACTATTTAAGAAGTGCAGAGTGTCCTGTAAACCTTTGAGAAGCGAGGGTCAAGTAGATCTTTGTTAACTCTCTTGAAGGCACTGTGATGAAACAGTTACGCCACTTCGGGGAAAGTTTATATAGAAAAAACTTCTACACCAAAGTAAATACTTTAAGAAATAGCCAAATCGGTGTACTCCTCGGTGGTGTGTATTCTAGAGCCACAGCATGGCTAGTGCTCACTTCTGCTTCTGGCTGGGCTGTTACTGACTAGACTTTAATGTCTCTCCATAAACAATTAGAAAGTTGGACAAAATACACGAAACTACTGTTTTCAGACATCAGATAATAGTCAGCACAGGACCATGGTCCTTGAAAAAAGGAAAACAAATGAGATGAACTCCAAGAAACCCCTAGCTTTCTGCCTGAAGGCACTTTCTGGGCCACAGGCATAGGGAGGAGATGCCAGACAGAATTCAGCAGCCTTGGGGCCCCTGGGTGGCTCAGTGGTTGAGTGTCTACCTTTGGCTTAGGGCATGATTCTGGGGTCCTGGGATCGAGTCCCACATCGGGCTCCCTGCATGGAGCCTTTTTCTCCCTCTGCCTGTGTCTCTGCCTCTCTCTGTCTCTCTCATGAATAAGTTAAATTTTTAAAAACTCAGCAGGCTTCTAAGTTGGAGAAATGGGAATTGGAGTTTGGGAAGGCACAAGGGGCTGGCAGTTGCAGGAAAGAGTCCAGAAGGGAGGGTACTACACAGAAGAGAGCTCCAGAAACTTGGGGAAAAGGTTATATATAAAGAACTGCACCGGCACTTTTTTTTTGAGTCCTCACCACATACTAGCCCATAGATGTATGGACTAAAGCTCCACAGTTCCAGGCAAAGGAAAGACAAACAACTTGTAAGCTGAGCCATTTCCAGAGCTCTCAAAAAGCAGGAAGATATTCAGAGTGAGGAGTCCCCATCATCACCTTCCTTCAGTGGAGAGACCCAGACAAGTCACACCTCAGTAGTAGGGCTAGGTTTCTCTGAAGTGAAGGCCCACGTAGACTTACACTAGAAAAGTTTAAAAACAGTCTTTGAAATGAACAAACAAGGGCATCCCAGTGGCTCAGCGGTTTGGCGCCTGCCTTCAGCCCAGGGAATGATCCTGGAGACCCAGGATCGAGTCCTGTGTCGGGCTCCCTGCATGGAGCCTGCTTCTCCCTCTGCCTATTTCTCTATGTGTCTCATGAATAAATAAATAAAACCTTAAAAAAAAAAAGAAAAAGAAATGACCAAGCAAGGAACCTAACTGCCTACCAAAATAAAACCGAACACTCTAAAAAATTTTTTTGAGAAAATATTACAATGCCTAACACCCAATCAAAAATTACAAGACATGTGAAGAAGCAGAAAAATGTGATCCAGAATCAAGAGGAAAATCAGTCAGTAGAAAGAGGCCCAGAAATAGCAGAAATGAGGGAACAAGCAGACAAAGACATTAAAAGAACTGGAATGACTATATTCAAGCGTTTGAAGAAAAACATGTACATAATGAGAAGAATTGAGAAAATGAAAAGAACCAAACAAAGCTTCTAGAGATGAAAACTATAATATTTGGGACACCTGGGTGGCTCAGCAGTTTAGTGCCTGCCTTTGGCCTGGGGCGTGGTCCTGGAGTCCCGGGATCAAGTCCCACATTAGGCTCCCTGAGGGGAGCCTGCTTCTCCCTCTGCCTGGGTCTCTGCTATTCCCTCTGTGTCTC